CGGCAAGTGTTGAAGAAGAATCAAAGCCTCAAGATGAGACCATGCAAAGCACAGAGACGAAGATGGACGAGACCACGGAGAAAGATAAGGACAACACAGAGGAGAAAGGAGGAGGAGATGAATCCAAAGGTGATGGGACAGGTCGATCTATCAAGCGAAGGAAAAGCCGAATGGAATGCAACGAATGTGGTAAAAAGTTCACTCGCCGCGAAACATACAACCTGCATCGCCACTTTCACATGCACCAGGATGAGCAGGCGTCCCTCGTTTGTAAAGAATGTGGCATCACTTTTCAGCATCGAAGTGACCTCATTAAACACCGCAGTATTCATAAAGAAAGCAGCCAAGCAAGTGTCTCACCTTCGAAAGGCTCTACGAGCATAACCAAGGAACGGAGGAAATTTGTGTGTGAGCACTGTGGTGTGTGTTTCTCAACAATGATCCGATTAAAAATTCATGCCTGTGAGCAGAAAGTGGACAAGCCATTTCGCTGCCCTCTGTGCCGCAAAGAGTTTCAGTACAGGGTGTCTATCAATGCCCACATGCAAAGTCACTCTTTGGACAGTCGCTATCGGTGTCTGGAGTGCAACAAAGGCTTTCAGAGTTTGGAGAACCTGTATGTCCACCAACGGTCTCACACTGCGCTAAAACCGTATGAGTGTCCAGACTGCAACATGGTCTTCAGGCATCGCTCCATTATGGAGGACCATCGGCGCAGACATGTGGATGAAAGGGAGCACATGTGCAAAATCTGTGGGAAGAACTTCAAATACAGTAGTCTTTTGCATCAGCACCAGTATCTCCATAGTGGCCAAAAGCCTTATCACTGCTCGCACTGTGGCAAAACATTCGCTTTTGCACAAAACATGCGAGCACATTTTCGCCAACATAAAAAGATCTCCGCTAGGTCTGAAGCACATAGTATAAACCATAATGTATCTGCTGTGGGGCAAGTAGGTAAAGAGAATGCAAGTGTTGAGCAGCAGCGCAACTGTCCACTGTGCCCTCAAATATTTTACAAGGCATCTGATCTGAGATCACACATGTTGATTCATGAAGCAGAATATGAAAGAATGACTAATGGCAAAAAATTTGATAAGGTCTATGCATGCCAGTGCTGTTCTCTCAAATTCCAGACAGAATCCCAACTACAAGCGCATTCACAAACACACATGACAAACATTTTAGGCATAAACGCGACACATATCACGAATCAGGTGAAAGCAGTACTTGAAAAGCAGGATGATGTTGCTGTGGATGAGGCAGATCATGACCGTGTGTCAGCAGTGGGGGAATTGGAGGACCAGACAGGCAAGAAACCCTTCAGGTGTCGAGACTGTGGAAAGTGCTTTCGTTACCGGTCAGTATTAGAGCTGCATATGCGCATACACAACAAGGGTTACCAGTGTCAAGTGTGTAAAAAGTCCTTTAGGTTTAGTAGCTATTTGCAGCAGCATTCGATTATCCACACTGGGAAGAAGCCGTACAAATGCCCAGACTGCGGTAAAGATTTTGCATTTCATCATAACATGAAAACACACCAACGGCTGCATCAACAAAAGCCATTTCGCTGCACACAGTGTCGGAAGGGATACAGCGACGAAAATCAGCTTCAGCGACATATGCTTTCCCATACAGGTGAAAAACCTTACAAGTGTCATATGTGTGACAAGAGCTTTGCTTTGGCCTACTTGCTCCGAGACCATCTGAACACTCATACGGGGGAGAGACCCCACCGCTGTCAAGAGTGCCACAAGTCATTCCCTTGGCTCAGTAGCCTGCTTGTGCATCAAAAGATTCATGTGCGAAAGCGTCAAGGTCCGAGTCATAGTTACTCATTCTCCATACATTCTCAAAGAGGTAGAGTAGGCCCTGGCAGAAGAGGTAGGCCGAGGTTAGATCGAGACAATGGAAGGACGCCGCCTCTACCTGATAGAATCATACCAGAAACAGTGTTGCCAAATGTGGTTCAGCAGCAGTTTGGTACAAATAGAGGACCACAGCCGGGGAATCATTCGCAGCAAGTTCAGTTACAGCCAGAATGGCAGATACAAATTGCACCATCATCATCAACATCGTCAGAAGAGCTGCTGCACTCGCAGAAGTCCGCAAGTTTAATGGAAGCCCAGCCAACTAATACAGTGCATATTCACTGGACAGGGACTCATCATAAGACAATATTGCCTAAATGTGATGGTCTTCCCGAGCTCATGCATCAGCAGAAATCTCCTCAAGCACAACCTAATCACTTCTCAGACATAAATTCATCTGAGATAGAGCAAAAAGGCAAGCATCCTGCACTCTGGATGAATGCACCAAACTCTACACTGCAGAAAGCCTCTTCAGAATCGCAACACCACATGGACAGGCCTTCCACTTTTGGTGTGAAAATACAGTCCCAGCGATCTATTCAGGACCTGCAACCATCGCAGTGGCCAGTTATCTGTGATCCATTGCAAACAGGCAAGCCAGAGCTGTTTAGTAACTCCTCAGATGGTAAAGGAACTGTTGATTTAGAAGCACCAACCATCGCCGACTCTAATAAACTGTCTCATGATTTACAAATGCCTGATTCATCTGGGGTTGCTACATCAGACATGGGTAAAACTAGTGGTATTGTGCTGTCTACTGGTGCTTCCTGCCTACCGAATACTAATCCATGGGGTATGAAAACAACTCTAGAAATGTCTGTACCTGTGAGCTTACAAGAATTACCTGGGGATGCATTAGAGAAGCAGCAAAACAGACTAATACAGCATTTGCCACAGCAAATGCAAATTTCACAGCAGCTACAACAGCAGATTCATGTGCAACAAGCTCAGATACCTCCTACTTGGGTTAGTACAGGTCCTCCAACCCAGATAGGACCAGTGAACATGCCTTTTTCGCCACCTCGTTTTCCTCTTGGGGACAGACCTCCATTGTGGGGATTTCAAGCTGCTCCAGTTGTTTCTCAAACCCTTGTAAACGGGCCAGTTCCACAAGGCCACATCCAGGCACAACAACACGTAGCACTAATTTCTGGTCCACGTATTCCACTTAATCAGCCTCCAACTTATATCTCGCCCCCTTTTCCTCCACCAGGTCTAAATTTATCTGCTCCACATCCAATGCATTCTGTTGGAAGGCCTCTTCAAGGTGCATTGCCTCAAGGCATCTTCTTCACTTCACAGGGTACCATAAATGAGATGGCACTTCTGCCACAAGTAACAAACTTACCTCAGTTAGCGCAACAAACTGAGCCTCACAAAATGGGCAATAAATTACCTTTCGCCCCAGATCACCTGTTCCAGTGCATGATTTGTGGTTGTTCTTTGCCTGGAGAACTAGAATTACAGATGCATTATATGCAACACGCACAGCGAGACGTCTGAGTTTGATTTTTAGAAATGATATACACACAAAATAAAAAATTAGGTGGTTTAGATTGTCTATCCATTGATTTACTGTACATTGCTGTTGTACATTGCTGTTAAGCTGCTGGAGTGTTTGTTTAAGACTTAAGATGTATTCATGTTTTTATTCAGTTATTAAATTTTCCAGCGGAACACCTATTCAAGTTTCCTGTGCTTTGTTACACTTAATAAACCATGAACCAAAAAAAAATTCATGAATTAAATTAATAAAATAAAGTAACTAGAGTGTTAGTTTAAAGCAGGTGTGTCCAAACTCAGTCCTGGAGGGCTGGTGTCCTGCATATTTTGGTTTCAATTCCAATTAAATTGTTGAAGGACATTGGAGCTAAACTATGCAGGATATCGGCCCTTTAGAACCGAGTTTGAACACCCCTGGTTTAAGGTAAACATAATAAATTAAGATTGATCATTTTATTTTATTTAATACAGAATTTTGTCCTATTGTTATTTACAAGCAATATGATGATGGTCAGTTTGCAGGTTCATAATGACTGTGGAGTGTTTTAAAAGTAAAACATGTTAAAATGTATGTGTCCTTGAAAATAAAATATAACAAATTCTAAAACCATTTTAAATAATAATTAAGTATTTCAAATAGTAAAACAAAAATGTTAATCATGTGTATTAAAATATTTACATTTGTTTATTTTTTTTTTACTGTTGATAGTAATAATAAGTGAATGCAAGCATTTAACAAAATGCACACATTTGATCACTTTACCCCTGTAATACAACACAGTACCAGAAGAATATGCTGTTAAAACTATGTGTATTAAAACTGCAAGTCAGCAAAATGCCAGGATTTTACTACCAAGTATGTCTCTGGGCGGAATTGTGTATGCTCAAACTAGTTCATGGCTAGAGTTATTAGTGTTATCTAAAAAGTGTTTTGTTATTACTGTACGATCACACAGGCACACACATATATTTGGTGCAGCTGTAAAGACTTCTCAAAGGTTTTATTTGACTTAATGATTTTTATGTCCCTTAAAGCCAACTTTAAACATTCCTTCAGAAAATCCTCTGCTGTTCTTACATCTTTAGCCTAAATGTTAGCCATTTGAATTAGGTAGAAAGCATTAGGCTACTCTTCAAGTAGGGTAGTGAGCTGAAATCTGATCTTATATTTTTTTTATGATTCCTCATAATCTCATGATTCGTTGCGTTATCTTATATTTAAACACTGAACAGGAAAATAGTAAACGATTTGTATGTTATCATACTACCATTGCAATATCTTTACAAGTAACGCTAAATAAATCAAATGGACAGCATGTTCAAAAATCGCACAGTAAAAATAAAAAATAATAAAAAAATAAATAATCTTGTCTAAATGACCCGACAAATTATAAACAACGTCCGGGCCGCTAAGCCACGCCCATTTTTACATGTAGCTTTATTATTACGAAACACTTCATAAACGTTACATGTTGAAATAAATGTAACGTTACATAGTATAATAATCACCTGGTTTTCATACATAGCTTATATGTGATGTTCATGCCACAGCTTAGTGGTTCAGGCAGACTTTGCTTGCTAACCCCCCTGGAGCCAGAGGGAACGTAGCCTAATTAATATTCATGAGATAAGCTTTCGCCATAGTAGGATTCGAGGGTTTGCCTCCCCCCAACATCAACTCTCCCCTTTACCGCGAAAAGTGCGCTGCCTTCCACATTATGGCTGCGGTTAATTCTGCAGAGGAGTGCAATTTGCAGTCAAATAAAGACAGTTTGTCCCCTGAATATAAGAATGTCGCGGCCCAGAAGATGAATATCGATCCAGTGAGCAATAGCAAAGACAGCAATGCTAAAAACACAAACGGAGAAATGGCATATAGTCCCGCTGGCCTTGCGTTCAAAGCCCAGGACCACGCCGACGCTGCTGCAGTTTCAGCCGTGAAGATTAAAGTAGAGCAGGCGGAGGAAGACGAGTGTGTAATTGTACATGTGGACGAGGCTGAGGACGCAGATGTGGCTGTTATGTCTACCAGTAAACGAGACTCGTCTGCGAGAGGTGAAAGTGTCGAGGGTAAGCAACTTTGTGTTGTTGTTGTTGTTGTTGACAGCGTCTCTGACTGTAACCTCGGTCAGTTATGTTTTACCTTAAAATCATGTCAAGCTGGAAAATAATATCAGCCCCAAAATAATTTCACCTCACAATTTAAACATCTGAATATCCACAACCCACAATATGTTTTGTCATCATGTAGTATTGCATAATAAAGTCTTGCATCTAACTATTTATCTAAAACAGCTGGAATCGTTTTGAACGTTAGTATCACGAGTCATCACGGGAAAGGCAAAACAGCAGCAACTGTACAATATGACCACGAGGAATTTCTGTTTCAGACATGTCCTGCTTGCTGGCTGTCATGATTCCTTAGAATAGGGTTGGCTAATTTTGGCTGACACAAAGGCGAGGGTTTAATTTAAGACCAAAAGACTTTTTGAAAACCAATTGTGCAGTCATTGTATTTGGCTGCTCGTTCATAAAATCTGCTCCATCTTAAATTAGATAGAAATAACACTGACTTGTCAGTAGATGGCAGGCTTTACTTGCACATTGCATGTGTGAAATAACATAAATAAATAATATGAAATATTGTTTTAAATCACAGTGTTTGCACGTCTCAAAGTATCTTTGCAATATATTTGGGATTTTTAACATTTTACAAATGTATTAATAAAGCTTGTTGAACTAGGCTTTTGACACAATTTAATGTGGAACTAGTAAATGGAGTAAGACTGAATTGTTCTGCCGTTGCCTGGCAACAGATCATTTAATCAAAGCTTATGTTGATGAACTATATTTACAGTTCTGCAAAAACATTCAGATCATTGTACTGTAGATTTTTAATATTTTAGTATTTTATGCTGTTCTCATAAAAACCTTTAGTTGCGTTTTTCCACTTTAAGTTTATTATAGGTTTTCTCCCATATAAATTGTTCAAACATAAAGATTTTTTGCAGTCGGTTTTATTTACAATTAGGTGTGGGCTGGTATAAGATTCTGACAGCATGAGATAACTTTGGATAAAAAATATTGTAGTATTATGATTATTGGTCTAAAATAAGTTCTTTTTAAATGTCTGGGTAAAAAGAAACAACTTATTTCTCCATTGAATGTACATACTGTTGCCCTAAAAAACTAAAAACAATAGTTGTGAAAAACATGTAATAATCTTACACATACCTTAAGCCCTGCTCACACTGTGAGATTTCTATCCTGTAGCAACAGGAGTCACCCTGACCTCTCTTTTTTTCTCTTTCTATATTAGGAGATTGGCCATTTCGCTGTGAGGATTGTAGTGAGGCCTTTGGGAATGAGGAGGATTACCTAGAGCATCGCAGTGAGCATATCCACGATGGCCCAATAGTCTGCCTGGACACTGATTCGCAATGGGATCACCTGCTCATCTCGACAGATGGAGGTCGGAGAACATTATTCTGTGGTCTGTGCGGACAGAAGTTTTCAAGCTCAAAAGGTTTTTTCAACCATCAAATGAAACACCGTAATCAAGCCATTAAACGCGAAACGGGTAACAGCTTTAGTGCAGCGCGGCAGAAGATTTTTGAATGCAAAGTTTGTGGCAAAACTTATTCCACTATTGGTCAGTGTCTCAACCACGAGCGCTCACATAAACAGGCTTCAAAGTCTGTTTTTCATCAGATTGCTCACTTAAAGAAAAAGTCATTTCAATGCCCGACCTGTGGACGCTGTTACTCTCGGGCTTCGGCTCTTGACGCACATCGCCGTTGTCATGAGGTAAAGCTGGTAAAATCAAAAACCTTCGAAACTGAGAAAACTATGTCGCTTAATGAAGCTTCGGCTCAAGATCAGAACAATGGTACCAGCTCTGAACAGACAGAGGAGCAAGAGCAAAAGGTTTTTCAGTGCTTTTGTGGCAGATCTTTCCGTACTATGTGTGGCCTCGGGACGCACCAGAGGTTCTCAACCAGCTGTTCAGATGGAAAGGTGAAGGAGGAAATTAAGCATCCGTTTGTCTGCTCTGAATGTGGTAAGACCTTCATTAGTTCTGTGGCTCTGCTGTGCCACCAGCGTTGGCATAAAAGACGGGAGCAACTTGTCTGCAATAACCAGTCATATAAATGCTCAGAGTGCGGCAGGGTCTTCACCTCGCTCACATTCTACAATAAGCATCAGCGTCTGGCACACAGTGAAGAGCAGGCAGCAAAATCTTTCCTTCATCAAGTTATTCAGCTCAAGAAGAAAGCTTTTGAGTGTCAGCAGTGTGGTCGCCGGTTCTCGCGAGCATCAGCACTGCAGTCACATCAGCTCTGTCATACTGACGCCTTCTTTGACATCATGGAGAAGAAGCCTGAGATGAGCACCGCCATTCACACTGTGAAAATCCAGGAGGACCATGTTGACAGTGTTGTTTTTCAGGCTCAGGACATCTCGGACGTTCAAGTTCAAGAGAAAGATATTAACTGTAACAACACAGTAGAGGAGCATAACGCTGTAGATGCTGATTATGAAGTTGTCCATATCACATCTTCAGATGATTCTGAGAGCACACAGGATCCAAATCCTGATCTTGAGTTAGTTTGCGAATCAGACCAAGAGGAGAAAGATGACTTGAGTTTGACAGCTGAATCCACATCGTCCTTGCCATTAAATCCAGCGATTGATGTTAAAATTGTGCAGATTGATTATGAGCATTTAAATGAGGAACCATTTATGAATGCAGAACTGATGAGCAAAAGCCATCCTCGAGTGGCAAAGTATAATTGTCCACACTGTGACAGAAAGTTTTTCAAGGCTTCGTCCTTGCGCTGTCACGTACTTTGGCACAAAAGGTCCATGAGAAAAAAAGCAGAGTGGCAGAAATTTGACATTTTGTCACCAACTAAGAAGGTACTTTTAACATGTGAGGTTTGTGGCCATGAAAGTCCTTCCAAGAGTGCTCATTACTTTCACATGGGAAAGCATGACGATAAAGTAGCATGCAAGTCTATTTCCTACCAACTGGAAAATCTGCAGAAGAATAATATAAAATGTGAAGAGTGCGGCATGTGTTTTTCCAGACTGTCTGCTTTGCATTCTCACCAACAGCTTCACAGTGGCAAAAAGAAGCCCTTTGCTTGCTTGCAATGTGAAAGGAGCTATGCAACTGCAAGCGGTCTGTACAACCATCAGAAAGTTTGCTGTGGTGGCGCCAAAGATGAAATGACAAAACATTTCAACCCGACCAAAACACTTTTGGGCCCAAAGGTTCATCACTGTAAAAAGTGTGGTAAAGGTTTTTGGTCTATGGGAGCCTTCTGTCATCACAAACAAAACAACTCAGAGTGTGCAGATGTTGAGACGAGGCCCGCCAGTGCGGGCGCCACTGAGAATGGCCACATACGACGCAAAAAACGGGGTCGTAGGGGTGGTTATAAAAAAGTGCACCCAATGAATTCAAAAGTAGAACATAAATGTGAGGTGTGTGGAAAATCATACCACATGCTGGCTTGTTTTCTTAAACACAAGCTTGTCCATGATGCTCAAGGTCTTCGACCTGCAGTCAAATCATTTGACTATCAAGTTCAACAGCTGAAAAAGAACTCCTACCAATGTCCCGACTGTGGAAAAGTTTTCTCCCGTGCAATGGCCCTCCAGTTTCATATGAAAAGTCATGGCTTTGAGACTGGCCTTCCTGTGACTGACCCTGGTTCATCTGAGCGACCCCAATGTCTAACATGCTATTCTTTTTTTGCGTCTGAGTCGCTACTGCAGGATCATCAGAAACACTGTTTAAAACCAGAGGACAATGTGGAATCTTCACAGGAACATGAGAAAGTGGGAACAGAAATACAAGATGCATCTTCGCAGAAATCTGAAGATGTTAGTGAAATGTCTCCTTCAGCCGTTTCTGATAAAGAACAGAAAGCACCTTCAGCTTCAAATATGAAATACAAATGTAAGGACTGTAGTAGGAGCTTCTCTGTAATTGGTGCTCTGAACTTTCACAAGCGAATTCATCGCAAAGGTCACCAGTCTAAAAAGATGAAATCTTATCCGGTAAAGCCGTTGAAGCTTAGCAAAGTAAAAGCAGAGAAGTGTTCAGCAAAATCACCTTTTGTTTGTGCTGAATGTGGAAGACATTTTAGGACCAATTCCGCTCTTGGCACACATAAGCGATGGCACAAAGACAAAAAATTTGCCAAATATCTCTCAAAGACCAATACGGTGCGCTCAAGGAAAAGTATGGACGGTGGACCTTATTTATGCAATTTGTGCGGGAAAGGATTCTTCTACCTTTGTGTTCTTCGTCGACATCAATTGCATCATCCTCCCATGGAGGCTCAACCCCAAAAAGACAATGAAGTTGCTGAATCAAAAGATCTTTATACTTGTCCAGATTGTCAGATGTCTTTCTCAACTGGGTCTCTGCTAACAACTCACTTTGCAGATCATCACAGCAAGAACACTGAGACTGAGAAACAGTCAGAAAATGTCCCTACAGAAGAGTTGGGTTCCCCCATCAAACAATCATACGCATACAAAGCAGATATTACCAAAACAGAGAAGACTAAGGTGCAGCACTATCAATGCCCCCACTGTCCTAAGAGCTTCTTGAACATACGCGGCCTCCGTGCGCACAAGTGGCAGAAACACGACAAGGTTAGCGAACAAGCCACAGTGTCTCAAGAAGAACCCTTGGCATATGCAAAGCCCATTGCTTCTTGTGAAGTGCCAAAGAAGAAAGAGCTGAAACCATATACTGAAGAGGAATCTGTACAGAGCAGTCGAAACGTGGAGCTCACTAAATGTTTGTTCAGGTGCAATAAATGTGCAAAATCTTTTCCCAGTGAGGATCAGTTAAACGCTCATAAGGAGGTGGCAAAGACTCGTCCGCACTGCTGCACTCTTTGCTGTCGCGGCTACTGGACTGAAAACCAGCTGCAACAGCATCTTGCATGGCACAATGAAGTACGTCAGCGTCTGCCAACTGAACTGCGGTACAGACTGAGTGCTTCCATAGCACCTGGACCTTCAGACAACCTGCAGACTTTCTCACAAAGATCGGAGTCTATCGTAGACCTCGTAAGTTCACAAGCTAATAGTCATAAATGTCTGCTCTGTGGAAAAACGTTTCTGTCACCTCGTGCGTTGCAGCAGCACCAGACTCTTCACATAAACGAGAAACCGAAACATAGTTCGTCGTGTTCACAGACCTTTACTGACCTCAAGAGTTTTACTGACCACCATCAAGAGTGCTTAGGTGGTAAAGAGCAAAAAGACAGTAACTCTGCTCCGTCAGAAAGAGATATTTCAGACCTGACTTGCACAGAGTGTGGGATTTACTTCAAGCAGGAAACTGAACTGCATCAGCATTATATTGAACATGCACAGGGGCTCTAAATTGCATTAAAGTGGACAAAAATTCTTTGGTACGTTGTTTGATGCATCTGCACTGATTTTATTTTGGTTTTGTTACCTGCTGTAAATGCTAACATACAGAAGAGTGACTGTATGTCTCGAAGAGAAAAGGGTCAGCTTTTAAATTTGTACAATTCTGCTGTAGTGGAAGATTTCTCTTGTATTCAGAGTATTATTACAGATACTCTAAACCAGGGGCGCCCAAACTCAGTCCTGAAGGGCCGGTGTCCTGCATAGTTTAGCTCCAACTTCCTTCAACACACCTGCCTACAAGTTTTTGTACACCTAGGAAGAGCTTGATTAGCTGGTTCAGGTGTGTTTTATTGGGATTGGAACTAAAATATGCAGGACACCGGCCATCCTGGACCGAGTTTGGCCACCTATGCTCTAAACCAGGGGTTCTCAAACTCGGTCCTGGAGGTCTGGTGTCCTGCAGATTTTAACTTCAACTTGCCTCAAAACACCGGCAAGGATGTTTCTAGAAAGCCTACGAAGAGCTTGATTAGCTAGCCCAGGAGTGTCTGGTTGGAGTTGGAGCTAAAATCTGCAGGACACTGAACCTCCAGGACCTAGATTGAGAAATCCTGCTCTAAAACATAGGTCTCAAACTTGATTGACGATCGCAGCTCTGCACAGTTTTGCTCCAACCTTAATCAAAGCTGATAGCTGATCCAACTAATCGAGGTGTTCAAGACTACTAAAGACTATTAAACAGGTGTGAGTTGGAGCTGGTTGGAGCTAAACTATGCAGAGCTGCGGCACTCCAGGAACTGAGTTTGAGACCATTGCTCTAAACCAAACAGTGGGTTCTTCAATTACTTATACATGAGTTGAAAAATTTCTTTTATTCCCTTTACAATATTATGAGATCTCTGCAAGTGATCATTGTGTACCTCAGATATGTTTTGATGTTTATGGGGTTTTAAAAATATATTTTCCCCCTGTTGCTTTCTGTATTTTGAAAGAGTATTTAATTTAAACTATCAAGGTGTTGCTTAGATATTTGATGTACATGCTATTTAAAATGAGTTTTTGTGAGGATTACAGCTTCAACCTTTTGTTTGGTCATGGTGAATTTGTCATTTGCACAGCATCTGTTCATGTCAGTATCATCATTCCTCATTTTACAGTTAAATGTACAAATATGTTCATCTTTTGTACCAAGTTTATGTTCCTCTTAAAATAAGTCTGTACAGAGAATTGTTTCCTTGCTAAATATAATAACGCTATGTGCTTGTGGAAATGCCCTTCAGTCATGCTAATGACACTGAGAATGTATGAATAAGATGTGGAATCATAAATAAGCGAATCGCTTAAAGTTAAAATGTTATATGAGTATAATGTTTTTGTATCTTGGATGGCTGTGAGGGTTTAGATTCTGATTTGTTAATAAATGGCAGTCTTTCAATATACTTATAAAGTTGATTTGTTTTCAAAACTATTGAGATTAGCCAGATATTAAACACTATATTACTTGACTTTAAAAATATGCATGTGTTCAGATGGAAGAGGACCTTTAATGATAATATTGGTGGACATTTAGGGATATAGTCCACCCCAACAAATATTTACTTGTGATTCCAAACTTAATTGAGTTTCTTTCTTCTCCAAACACTAAAGAATATATATATATATATATATATTTTTTTTTTTTTTTTTTTTTTTTTTTTTTTTTTTTTTTTTAAGAAAGCTGAAAAACATTGACTTACATTGTAGGAAAAACAAATACTAAAGAACTCAATGGTTTCCAGCTTTCTTTACAATATTTTCTTTTGGGTTCAACAGAAGAAGGAAACTCTTTAAGGTATGAAACAAGTAAAGGGTGTGTAAATAATGACAGAGTATTCAGTTTTGGGTGAACTATTGCTTTAAACTTGCATTGATGTATCATCAAACTTTAGACCTCAAGAAGTTTTTAACTGCACTGAAACATCGACAGAGTGTGGTCATCTTAGGTGATCACACCAAAATACTGTACATATTCTTGTTGGCTGATAGATACAGTGTGTGCTTAAATGCCTTAAATGATTTATGTTTTGAGACGAGCATTGTCTCACTAATTGAGAGATGTTTAGTGTTGCTTTTAATAGGATTGATTGTACTTTCCCCAACTTGCTTTTGTTGGTTTTCCAATAATTACAGGTTTAAACGTGTACCCTTGTTTAAAAAACAGTGAATGTAGACATGGACTAAGAAACTGTCTTTAATTAAAAGGTTAGAATTTCCTTGAATAATTGTCTGCTTATTATTTTGTCATGTAGATCGGCTTTATTCATGTTGCTATGTGTCCTTATCTTTTTAATATGCTGACTATGCAGTTAATGTCTGAATTATTAGTCCTCCTGTTTATGTTTTCCCCCAATTTCTGTTTAACAGAGAGAAGATTTCTTCAACACATTTCTAAACATAATTGTTTTAACAACTCATCTATAATTACTGATTTATTTTGTCTTTGCCATGATGACAGTAAATAATATTTTACTAGATATTTTTCAAGACACTTGTATACAGCTTAAAGTGACTTAACTAGGTTAAATTACATTAACTAGGAAGGTTAGGGTAATCAGGCAAGTTGTTGTATAAGGATGGTTTGTTCTGTAGACTATCGAAAAAAATATATAGCTTAAAAAAGCTAATAATATTATTAATTAAAAACTGCTTTTATTCAAGCCGAAATAAAACAAATAAGACTTTCTCCAGCAGAATTATCAGACATAATGCGAAAAAATTTTCTTGCTCAAATATTTCCCAAATATCATTTGGGAAATATTTGAAAAATTCAAAGGGGAGCTAAAAATTCAGAATTCAACTGGATGCATAAATGATGAACCTTTAACACACTGGTGACAGAAATATACTTAAATACAATTTTTGTCCTTTAGACAAAATTATTTTAGAAATATAATAGTGCTTTTTTAATCACGTCATCAGAAAGGGATAGTGACATGCATTAACCTGATTCATTTCTTCTGTTAGCAGTTTTTATTTAATGGATTCTACATTCAACCTATAGCTGGAAAAAAACATATGTAGTATTTGATTCTAAATTAATACTTATAGTTTTATTGGAGGGACAGTTTTTGTAAAATGTCTTCATTTGCACTGTGAATGTTTGAATAAATGTTGTATGGGTGTGGAACCTTTAAAATAATCAGATTGCTATTTTGACAGAAACATTTTAATCCAAAAAGTGATGTGTTTCTGGGATAACTTGAAGCCTTATGCTGAATTACATTTTTAATGTTTATTTAAAAAAATGGGTTAGAGTAGAGCTGCTCCCTGAATAAGCAAATGGGTTTGGAACAGTGTGATAGGGAGAAAATTAAGATAGAATTGACCTTTTGGTGTGAACTAGTCATTTAACACAGCAACTTAATATGTATTTAACAATGTTTAAGTTAATAAAGTGAGACTCAATAACACCAAGATTGATTTGCTGTTAAAATCATATATTTGGGACTTTAAGTTTATCTCTAATTGCTGCGATACCACAAAACTCTTCTGAAATTTTAGTATAAATAGCTAAAGAATAAAAAGAAAATTACACTTTGAAGCATTAATCTATTAAATTTGAGAAGATGATTTTATCATCACATCCACATCCACAGTACCTTCAGCATCTTGACTCGTATATTGAATATCAGTGTATAAATTGGGGAGAACTAAAACGGTTGGAGTCTGTCTTTTAAAAAAGATATCTAGGTGATTGTAACAAATAATGTTTAAGTATTTTTACTCTGTTTATTTTTGAAATTTGTATGATGTTGGTTTAAACACTAACGGCTTGTCTTGTGGACATTTGGACACTTTGTACTTAAATTGAGAAACGGAGTGTTTTAGGTACACTGTTATCTGATAGGCCTTAGTTTAGTAAGAAATGGATTGACACCCACATGTATCACTGTTTTAAACTCACTGTAATGACCTTGACCTGATGCTGGCTTCCTTCTAGACTTTAAGGCATGCCTTTACATTTTTAAAAGTTTTAAATTTGTACTTCACTAAAACATAAAAGCTATTTTAATGTAACCTGATGTTCGTTAACTACCTTAGATTCATGGAAACACAGTTCATGGAAAACAGTGTGATAAGAGCTGTTGTCTCAAATGTTCATTTTCTCTTCTAAATCATTTGACAGGATTTCATTGGCTGATTTGTAGGTATCGATGTTAAATCGGTCATTTAAAAACAGCTTTGCGGATGATTTCTGTCTAAAGCTGTGTGTGAACTGTCCTCTTCTCCTTCACTGCAATGAAGATGATTGTGTTCGCTTTGCTGGTCCTGGCTGTGGGTATGTAATATGTATATTTTTATTAGTTATTATGTCATCTGATTCTAACTTATTTGTAATATCCTTATTCTTTTAACTTTTTGACCAACATGATCTTAATCAAGTCATAATAAAATGAGTTTATTTCAGTTATTTTAATCTGACTGAGTCTCATCAAAATAACCAGATATAGCAAATATTAATAAACACCATTAATAAATCAGTTATTCACTCTATAATATTTAAACTGTGATTTGTTTTGCTTTGTCTTGCACGCTTTATATATAATTAAATGTCATGTTTGTGAAGCTTGCAGTGCAGATGATAAAATCATTGGCGGTTATGAATGTTCACCCAACTCGCAGCCCTGGCAAATCTACTTGACTTATGATAACGGTCAGCGCTGGTGTGGAGCATCTCTGATTAATGATAGATGGGCCGTTTCTGCTGCTCACTGCTATCTTGTGTGAGTATATCATGCTTTTATTTTAAAGGTAATATTAAGCTGTCACGTGAATAATGTTACACTAAATTAGACATTCGTAAAATATGAGCTGCAGGATTTGCTGTAAAGAAAAAAGTTACAATTCTGTAATAAATATAACAGTAGAATCACTTTAGATTGTTCATTGATGTTATGTTGCTGATGAAAGTTTTAATATGCACATTTATGAATGGGTTTCTGTCAAATAGAGCTAATCGTCTTACTGTCCATCTGGGAGAGCACAACGTAGCTGTCGAAGAAGGCACAGAGCAGCGGATCAAGGCAGAGAAAGTGATCCCTCACCCGAAATACAATGATTATACATTGGACAATGACTTCATGCTGATCAAGCTGAAAGAGCCTGCCGTTTTCAACCAGTACGTTCAGCCCATTCCTCTGACGACCAGCTGTTCTTCTGAAGGAGAGCAGTGCTTGGTTTCTGGATGGGGGAATCTGATCAACACTGGAGGTGATCATTATAAAAGTCTTTGTGTGTGTGTGTGTGTATGTGTGTTGGTCTGTGTAATAGTTGAGAATTTTCAGCAACATTTTTACATTAATTCCTTTAGCAGATATTTTTATCCCATATGAGAATAAAAATAAGCACTTCAAATCACCAGAAAGCGGCAATATATGGATGCCATGTCAAGTTTTAAAATAGCTAAGCATGTTTTTAATTTTATTAATTGAGTTTTTGTAACCCGAGTGTTTGTAGGAAAGTGTCTGGTGCGTATAGAGATTGTTAGGAAAGAGTGTATTGCACAACGTTGTCTCAGAAACACGGACTGTAAGTGTCTGGAGCATTTGAAGAGGAAAGGGTGCGCCTCCTACAGGTGTTTGTCAAGTCCATTAATCTCCATGAAGCACACTCTGTGCTTTCTCTCTAGTTTACAGTGATATGCCAGTACTGGGTGAAAAGTTACGCCAAAAATACACTACCTGACAAAAGTTTTGTGGTCGAACCCAGTTAAAAGAGCAACAAAAATAACTGACTTCTAGTTGATCATTTGGAAAAGTGGCAGAAGGTTGATTTTTCTGATGAATCATCTGTTGAACTGCATCCCAATCATCACAAATACTGCAGAAGACCTGTTGGAAACTGCAAGGACCAAAGATTCTTACAGAAATCAGTCAAGTTTGGTGAAGAAAAATATCATGGATTAGGGTTAGATTCAGTATGGGGGTGTGCAAGAGATCTGCAGAGTTGATGGCAACATCAACAGCCTAAGGTATTAGGACATTTGTGCTGCCTGTTACATTACAAACCACAGGACAGGGCAGATTCACATCAAAGTTCCTGAAAGCAAAGAAGGTCAAGGTGTTCCAGGATTGGCCAGCCCAGTCACCAGATATGAACATTATTGATCATGTCTGGGATAAGATAAAGGAGGAGCCATTGAAGATGAGTCCAAAGAATGTTGATGAACTCTGGGAGTCCTGCAAGAACACTTTATTCTTAAGTTATTCGAGTCATTGCAGAGATGTATGGATGCAGTCCTCCAAGCTCATGGGAGTCATACACAATATTAATGCTTTTTCCACTGCACCATGACTTTATATTCTATACTGTACATTATTTCTGTTAAGTGACAAGACCTTAATTTAAGCAAAGTCAGACCTTGCTGTCCTAATTAAATCATTAAAAATCAAGGTATGATCATATTTTATTCTGGTCAAATAAGCGTAATCTAGAGGTCTTTACCTTTTATATAAGCCACTTCTAATACTAAATGATCAACTAGAAGTCAAGTTATTTTTTGTTGTTTCTAAAACTTGGATAGGCGACAAGACTTTTGTCAGGTAGTGTAGACTACCAACATTTCCCCCCATTTTTAGTTTAGATGAGTTGATTTTAGTTGACAAAATTCACTGCGCAATTTGGCAAGTTGGAGCTGACAGGATTTCTTTGAAATGCCATGAAACAAGTCACTTCTTTGGTGTAGTTAGTTGGAAATATAAACGCAACATAGACCAAAGACATACCGTAGACCTGTTTCCTCTCATCATAGTCATGATTTTTGCCTATTACAGTTGCATACAAGTGTCAAATCATGGCTTGTAGTGGATCTTTGTTTGTTAGTGAGAAAGGCTATTAAAAGATTCAGCAGATTAACAGATTTTGATGCTTTTGACTGTTTTTCCAGTTGTCTATCCCGATGTGCTGCAGTGTTTGAACCTGCCTGTTCTGACAAGAGCCCAGTGTGAGGGTGCGTATGGATGGCAAATCACTAAAAACATGTTCTGTGCTGGATTCATGGAGGGAGGCAAAGACGCATGTCAGGTATCTCATTAATAAGGTCTTATTATTTATCTGGGTTACATATTTTCAAACCCAATCACACTTTCTTTTCATTTTCCAAACTTTTCTCAGGGAGATTCTGGCGGCCCTGTGATATGCAATGGTGAGCTGCGAGGGGTCGTTTCTTGGGGTTACGGCTGTGCTGATTCCGGCTATCCTGGGGTTTATACTGAGGTCTGCCGCTACACTGACTGGGTTGCGTCTACCATTGCAAACAACTAACTATTTCTCTATCCGATTGTGGCCATTTGATTACAAGTTAATTTTCTAAAAACATATTAAATTCAAATTGGAACCAACAGAAGTGTCTCGTCTGTGTTTTATATAAATATAATATATTTAAGGTTAATGTTGTTGCTCCCTGCCTAAAATGTAACTGCAATACTTGCTCAAGCTGCACACTAAATTGTAGAGATCCTGTAGTTCCTGTAAGGCTACAACTTGGACAAGGATCTTCACTAAACTGGGAGAGTCAAATCACTGTTCTGTTTGTTCACAATCATAGGCTTGTGTTATCAGAAATCTCAATGACCTCCATCAAGAGAGTTTATGCTTTAAAGAGGTTAACAAACAAATACACAGTTTGCCTTGCAGCAAGACAAAAACTGTACATCAAAGGAACAATACCCTCATTTTAAAAAGCATTTTACTTAGAGTTAAACGGTTGTTTAACCAGTTGTTTTGAATCCATTATGATTATTATTTCAGCAAAATAATCTAGGAACTTTGCATGATCTAGGTACAAGTATACATGATGTATGCTGTACAATGATATTACAGAGTGCTGTTACTAAGTTATCTAGCTGCATGGGGTCTATTTTCAGGTGTTGCATAATATCATTGCACCCGCTGCAGCCATGTTACGGCAGCATAGTTCCTTGATTGTTATGCTGGAATGAGAGTCTAATATGATTTACTAATTCCTGCTAAGTTAAATGTGCTTTATTTGGGTAAATGGATTCAAAATGGTAACACTGAACTGTTTAACTGTAGGTGACTTACCTATTTTCAAAAAAGGTAGAGTGTTTCTTTAAAGTCATCTGTGGTCATTTTCAGTACACTTGAAAATTGAGAGACTTGACACCAGTTGAGCTATTGAACTGGTATCTTTACATTTAGAAAATACTTCTAAAATGATTAATCAATCATGCTACACTGTTTAAAATGACTATTTAGATGCCTGAGAAAAACATTTAAACTCTAAATTCTTGCTGAATTGTTTGTTTACAGAAAGAAGCAGGGCTAACATCAGAGCAATATTACAGATGTCCATAAACCAATGAGTTTGTGTTTACAAAAGTGTCACTACGCAAAAGCTGTAATTGTGTTATTTCTTTTAAAGTCAGTAGATGTCTGCAATGAAACTGATGTTTCATAAGAATGCAGTTACATTTATGAGAGATAGTCATCCCAGTGGATCTGTGTCATTCATTTATTTAAGAACACGGATGATGAGGCACACAATAAGAATTCGAGAAAGCAGAGAGGTGGATCTGGAAAGGAAATGAATGATGCGAAGATTGATATACACTCATTTTTAGATATCATGTGCCCAAAACACTACTCGTATTGTGCAATACACAATGATGTATTTGATGAGTTTCCTGTTGTGCAGTTAGTTAATTATGACACGCAAGGCCATGAGATGCCTTTAAAATAGATCTAAACTGTAACTCTTGGTATAGATTTCTTTAGACCAATTGTGTTGTCATGTAAAGGTATATTTTCATCAATATTTGATATCATTTCTTCAAACTTTATCATCAAGGCCTTTACTTTTTCATGTTAATTACTTTTGAGTGAAAATTGCAGTAAGTGATGCATGTGTTTGTTAATTAGTACAAATCAGTACAATCAGTGTAAATCAGTACAATTGTGGTTCATTTTATTGCTATAAAATAGAATGAGGTGAAATATATTCAGGCTATCACATACATTCTGGTAATTCTTACATATTTTTATCTGTCTAAATATAGCCAGACTGATGGTAAATTGATGCTTATGTAAAGAGGAGTTTGCTGGTTTACTGATAGCAGTGTCATGTGTTAATGATAAGGAATGTTTATTCTTGTCATGTCAGGACAACAAAAGTTCAATGCAGGGAGGTCTTCATAATTCATCCCTATGTCAAACAAAGTACCAAATACAAGAGGAAATACAAACCCAAATCAGAAACAGTTAGGAGAGTGTGGAAACGAAAATAAACAATATAAAGGTCAACTTCATTTCATTTGTAAACATTCAGTCTTTCCTGTCATTCAGACCTGCAACACATTCCAAAAACAGCAGGGACATGAGTAGTTTAGGTGTTTCTCAACTGGGGGGTCGCAGGAACATTTTCAGTGGGTTGCTGAGTGTGTGGTCTAAAAAACAACAAAAGTTTCATTTTTAAACTTATTTTGCTTATATTGGACTTTTATTTTGAAATGCCCGTGCGACAACCATGCCGTTTGACATGTGAAATTTCATTTAATTACAGCAACAAATATGTCGAAGTGTAAGTATGACCTTGAATATGTAAAGTATGGATTTACATATATTGACAACAAAAAAGGATTAAAACCTCAGTGTGTCATATGTAGAGAGGTGCTTTCACAAGAGAGCATGAAACCTTTTAAATTAAAACGACATTTAGAAACCAATGATCCAGGCTGCAAACCTGTGGACTATTTTCAAAGACGACTCCAAAAGCTGAGGACATCACAAAAATGCCGAACATCTTTATGTTCAAAACAAGTACAGGCACTATGTATATCTTACTGTGCTCACCGTGTAGCAAAGCCCAAGAAAGCCCAGACAATAGCAGAAGAACAAATAACTGGTGATTATTATAAAAATGGTTATGATTATTTTAATCTTTTTACTTTAATTTGTTGGTTTGATCTGTTCAACAGGATCAGTGTTAACGTTTTATTAACAGTTCAGTTTAGTTAAAAGTAACTGACCTTTTCCTTACCCTAACCACTGTTTACGGTATTTGACGTTTTTACTCTGCAATATTTCTATAATTTGACACATTTTGTTAAATGACAGCAATAAAGTATTGTTTATTTGTACATCTTGGTGATTTTCTTATGATTTATCTGTCCCTACTTGTGTATGTTAACAAATGAATACAAATGAATTATAATTCCAAAAATAATCTGGACCAAAAAACAAAACAGGGGCTGGAATCTAGACTACTTTGCAAACCTTTGTCAAGTCAAGCAAAAACTGCACTGTTCCAAAAGGAAGCCATGTGTTAACAGTGTCCAGAAGAGCTGTCCACTTCTCTGGGCTCTGAGTTATCTGGGATACACCATGGAAATATGTACTGTGGTCAGATGAATTATTTCATGTATTTGGGGGAAGAAATAGACACCATGTGCTCCAGAACCAATAATGAAAAGGACTATCCAGAAAGTTACCAACAACAAATCCAAAAGCATGTCATGGTATGGGGTTGTGTCAGTGTCCTTGGCAAAGGTGACTTTCACTTCTTTAATGGCACCATTATTGCTGAAAAGTACATGGAGATTTTAGAGCACAACATTCTGCCTTCTTTTCCAGAGACGTTCATGAATATTTCACTAAGACAAAGCAAACGTTTTTAAACTAGTGCCAAGTCTTCCAAGTGTAAATTTGTCCTTTACAAATAAGAGCAGTGAAAGAACCTTCATTTTTATTTATTTGAATAGGAAAAAAAATCTGGTAAATTAATGAAGAAGATGACATCTGTATCACCTAACACTAGTGACAAAGTGTCATCAGATAAAAAAAACAAAAACGTGTAGCTAAGATGAGCAAGTAAACTGACCAGCTCAGGAAATGGAGGAGTACTGGGCGGGCTTTGGATGTGGGAGTCTGATCTTCATAATTTTTATATAAGCCATGCGACTGTCGACATTGGATATATGCTCATTGACTTTTGCACAAAGCCATTGAAGATTCAGCGGACTGAACAAAGTATTAATTTACATTCATCTTTTTCACTGCAATGAAGACTGTGGTGTTTGCTTTGCTTGTTGTGAATGTGGGTATGTAGATCTCTTTTATTGGACATCATTTATGTTCACTGTTAACGCTTCGTTACAGATACAGGTTACAGATACTAATTAATTATTTAATTGAAATTTAACAAATTTTCTTTACATTTATTTATTTTTCTGAAGCTTGTAGCCCGGTTGACAAAATCATTGGAGGTTATGAATGTCCTCCAAACTCACAGCCCTGGCAGATCTACATTACTAATGATGGGCAACGCTGGTGTGGAGCATCTCTGATTAACGAGAGCTGGGCCGTTTCTGCTGCTCACTGCAACATTGGGTGAGTAAACAGCCTCACATTTCATTCATTTATATATTTATGTGGAAAAAGTAGGTTAGTTATTCTCCTCTAAAATGTTCACCTGTTAGCACAATAATGCATGATTGTTAATCTGTAATTGTCGTTAAAAACAGAGCTAATCTTCTTACTGTCTACCTGGGAAAGCACAACATAGATGTTGTAGAAAAAACAGAGCAGCGGATCAGGACCGAGAAAGTGTTTCCTCACCCAGAATTTAAATTTCCTTCAGAGGACAATGACATCATGCTGATCAAGCTGAAAGACCCTGCAGTGTTCAACCAGTATGTTCAGCCGATTCCTCTGGCGACCAGCTGTTCTTCTGAAGGAGAGCAGTGCTTGGTTTCTGGATGGGGCTACACTGAAGGTGAGATGTCTCTTTTTCTAAATTACTTTCTGTAATAAGGTGATCTTATATTTGTAAAAGGTTAAATGTTTTTCATGTGTTCTTTTCTCAGTTGGTTTACCTTCTGTGCTGCAGTGTTTGGATTTGGCTGTACAGTCGAGACAGGAGTGTGAGCGTGTGTATAAAGATAAGTTTACTCAGAACATGCTCTGTGCTGGATTCATGGAGGGAGGAAAAGGCGTTTGTCATGTACGTCAATGGCTTATTCTGCATCTTCACATTTACATTAAGACATACCTTAATTCTCCCAACTTTTCTCAGGGTGACTCTGGTGGTCCGCTTGTGTGCAATGGTGAACTACGAGGAGTTGTTTCGTGGGGTGCAGGCTGTGCTGAACCAGGATATCCTGCAGTTTATGTTGAGGTCTGCCGTTACAGTGACTGGATCGCAACCACCATCGCAAATAACTAACTGTTTGTTCAGCTCATTTGGGCCTTCTGAAAGTATCTTTGATTAAACAGCTTTCTCAGCCTGCAACAAAACAAAAGTATTTCTGTTCTTATTTTATATGGACAACAGTTGCTATAATATAAAATATGTTTCTTGGGGCTACTACTGTGGTTTAAAAGAAAAACCTGAATATTTTGAGATATCTCGCTGCTTCTGCACAGACTAGGCTAATAGCATTGTAGCTAACTAACTATTTGTTTTTGCCTGGGTTTAATGTAATCCTAAAATATTTTAAATTAAATTCAGCTTGAAACTTGTCTTTTTGTCATTTATTTTGAAAAGAACCATGTCTTGTTTTCCTGCAAACTATTCATCATTTTCCTACATCACATGATAGTTTGAGCGAATAATGGGAGTAGCATCTGTTAACCTGTGAGCAGTCAAATGACTGCCAGTAAAATATTTAAGATGTTCACTCTAAAATTTTCAAAAAAAAAACAACAAAAAATGACCAGTTTCATTACAACTTCTCATCCATTGAACATCAAGCAAGCTTAAATGTGTAGAAGCATTAGAAAATCACTGTCAACATACAAAGAGTTCAGATGCAAAAAACCTTTAAGTGCCATTTGATATTTTCTCCTAAAATTAAAATTAATATCCGAATATATGAGGCAGAGAAAATGCTCGTTCTAGAAGAAAATTTCAGATGGCAGGTTTTTACAAGAGGTGGCATGGTGGCTCTGTGGTTAGCACTGCACCTCACAACAAGAAGGTTGCTGGTTTGAGTCCTGGCACGACCATTTCTGTGTCGGTCCCTGTGTTTGCATGGGTTTTCTCTGGGTGCTTCGATTTCCCTCACATTGTGGTGAATTGAGTAAATTATATTGAGAGTGTGTGTGAATGAGAGAGTTTGTGAGTTTTTCCCTGGGTTATGGCTGGAAGGGCATGCGCTGCATAAAACAAATGTCAGAGTAATTGAGAGGGGTCTGGATGCAGAACTGGTGCAGTGCAATCTGAGCTGCATCCAATTCTTTTTAATGCGCTCTCCTAACCACACCAATAGTATCTGGAAGCAGCCTTTATGATGCAAGCTGAGATTGCATCACTCAGCGATGCAATGTCAAAAATAAAGCACTCAAATGGAGCTAGTGATGTCACTGTGAGGGTTAGGGGTGGGGTTGGGTTGGGTGAGCCCATTAAAAAGCATTGGATGCAGCCCAGATTGCATTGCACCAGGTCTGCTTCCAGACCCCTCTCAACCCCACCCCTAACCCTACCCGTCACAGTGATATCACTAACTCCATTTGAGTGCATTGTTTCTGAGATTGCATCGCTGATTGATGCAATCTCAGCTTGCATCATAAAGGCTGCATCCAGACACTACTGGAGAAATTGGTGGTTCATTCTGCTATATCAGGGATTGAATTGAATTAAACTGAATTGCATTTTTATTTTTAAGTATCTCATAAATTTTGAAATAAAACTGTTGAGGAGGAAAACACATAAAATCCTGGGCTTGTTTCCATTGTGGTCCTCACTGTTAAAAAACAAAGTATAGCTGCAAAATAGAGTTAATGCATAAAAAACAGTACCAGGTCCACATTTTGAAAACAGAGACAAAATTATGCACAAAAATAACTTATAAAAAAAACATCATAATCCACCATGCAAGCTATGTTCATCAAACAACCATCTTTTGATGCTTTTATTTAAGTCTTATATTTCCTTGATCGATGTTGGTAGCTTGTTCCACATAATTGTACTTGTATATACAAACATATTTTTTCCAACTACATTTCTAAATTTAAATTAAACAAATATTAAAAATACCAACCCCTAGTAATATGAATGCTGTGGCCACACCATTTGAAAAAAGTTCACCAACTAAGAACCACATTATTAAACATTTTATCTGTTATTCCCAGATTTAAATTTAACAGCAATATTACGTATGTAAAATATTACTGGCTAACAGCAAGTCTATATTGTTTATATGATTAAGTTTAATAATCAGAATTGTCCTGTTATTTATTGCAATGTTGTTTGATTTTCAACGAGTTCTCCCTTTATTTAGACAGATGCATTTCTGAGCTTTAGAAATGTTCCTGTAAACTAGGAAACATAGTAAAGGGATGTGCATGTGATGTATTTTAGACTGAAGTGAAAGAATAGATCACAACACCCTACTTAAAAGAAACAACAAAGCACAACATTGTTTTTTTTAGTTTCAGTGGTTATTGGGAATTTTAGGGGTCTCAAGTAAATTGTTGATTATGTTGTTCTTGAATGTTAATACGTACAAAGAAAACAAAAATCAGGAGGAACAGAACATACCAAGCTGACTGTAGTAAGATGTCACATGCTCTTTGTACCAAATTCAGAACAAAATACCAAGGTACACCGCGGAAAAGTTAGTTTGGCGTTTAGCAGTCAAACTGACATAAAAAATATCAACCTATTTGTATCAGTCATATTTAATTGTAGACATGAAATTTCTGAAACCACTCGTGCTGATTTCAAGGACTACAGTATTTCGTTTCTGTGAACTACAACTCCCAACAGAATCAAGACGTGTGACGTCATATAGTCTGCATCCCGGTGTTGTGATATGGCGATCTTGCATAAAGGCCGTCAGAAATCTGCAAAACCAACGAGTTATTAGGAACCAACTGTATATAAAACCGATGCTGTGAGGATGAAAAAGAAAGTGGGTAAGTTTGGAGCTTCTTTGAATTATTATATCGCTTAGGCTGTGCGCCATATAACATGCAGTTCTGCACACAATGGATCAGAACAGCATAAGCTCGCGTTAGCGAAACATTGATAGATTTCACTGCTGCACAGGTGAACATAAAAGCCATATTTTGCTGCAGTCGTGTTCATTTGTTTCCTTTCGTTTATTATTCACTTGATTGCAGTTAACGTGTAAAGTGGGCTGTGTCTCAAAGCCTAGTAGTCATGTAAGTTATCTTCAAAAACAGCAAATGTGTGACCCCCAACACTGGTTTCATTTTGTTGAACTCCCTGTCCACTTGACTGCTACTTAATGTACTAAATTCAAGCCTCATTGCATTGGTTGCATTTACACAATTATGGTGTTCAATAGTGCAGTAATATTGTTGTATAGTTCTTTATTGTATTATTAACTGCAATAGGTAGTTGCAGCTTTCAATGTACAGTCCAATAATATTTTGCATTTGCTTTCCAGATAGGCTACCACTTTGTCTATTAGAAATTCTGTACATTGAGACTTTAGTTATTTAATGGCAAGTAATTTAGCATCTTTATTTAAAAAAACATAACACTGGAGAAGTTGCCATCCAGCTATTTTTATGCACATTTTAGAATATCATATAAAACTGTTAAAGAAATGCGCATGAAAATTATTTGCCTTAAAGAATAACCCAAGAAATGTGCAAATACTTGCACATATACAAACTATGAACTATAAACCCACTTATTATATAAAATGCAAAGTCCTTTAGATTTTTTACAACATCAAGACAGGTTTATTCTCTTAAACAAATGAAATGGAAATGCTGCTTCAGTCACAAATGTTTTAGCGATAGTTTAGTACAGTTGAAGTCAGAATTATTAGTCCCCCTTTGATTATTTTTTTCTTTTTTGAATATTTCTCAAATTATATTTAACAGAGTAAGGACATTTTCACAGTATGTCTGGTAATATTTTTTTCTTCTGGAGAAAGTTTTTCATTTTTAATACCCATTTTAAGGTCAAAATTACGAGCCCCTTTAAGCTATATATTTTTCGAAAGTCTACAGAAAAAAAACATTGTTACACAATAACTTGCCTAATTATCCTAACCTGCCTTATTAACCTAATTAATCTAGCTAAGCCTTTAAATGTCACTTTAAGCTGTATAGAAGTGTCTTGAAAAATATCTAGTCAAATATTATTTACTGTCATCATGGCAAAGATAAGATAAATCAGTTATTAGAAATGAGCTATTAAAACTATTATGTTTAGAAATGTGTTGAAGAAATCTGCTGTCCTTTAAACTGAAATTGGGGAAAAATAAACAGGGCGGCTAAAAATTCAGGAGCGCTAATAATTCTGACTTCGACTATATATTTACAACTTTTAAAGAGGAAATGTGGCTATAGTTCAAGTAGACTATGCTGTAACAAAGAAAACATATTAGTTGAGAGTAAATAGACTTAGACAATGGCAAGATATAAGAAAGCCTGTAGGGAATTATTGAACTATTGTAGTTCTGTTAAAGAAAAACTGAATGAACAATGGTAAATATACTACAATTGTATGTACAACTTGCTCTTTTATCAAACATATATTAGCCGTATTTATGAAAATATGTAAAAAAAAAACAGGTGGGATTGAATTCTTTTCTTGTCATCTTGTCATGTGTACCAATAAAACATGCTTTAAACATTTAGATGTGTGTTTAGATGAATGTTTATTGAAGGGCTATTTGTAAGAAATAATTATGACTGGGGTTAATGAGTTCACTTTTACTATGCTAGTAATTATCCTACATTAGTATGTCACAAATAAGGGTTAAAGGGTTAGTTTAACCACAAATAATAAATCTGTTACTCAATCCCTTAAGACCTAAAATCTGAGTGCTCTCTCATCCTTCATAGACTGCAACAGACCCCAAATGATCAGAAAACATTGTCATTTTTTTGTTCTATTGAATCAACTGTTATCATATGAAGCTCAAAGAACACTTTTGTGTGGCAAAAAAACAACTTAGTTTGCCGAACTCTTCTGTATCAGATCAGGGTAAGCATTTGCTATATTGCAATATGATGATTGAGTGTTACACTGCTAACTCTAATGGCAATTAGGAAAATCAGGGCTAAAATTGTGCTGTGTAAACTTGACATAAGTCACATGGAGTGTTTTTCGAAAGTTTTTGTTTTCTTATCTGTATTTAGGGTCGCACAATTCTGGCTAAAATGAGAATCACGTTTTTTTTGTTTGTTTTTTTTTTTTGCCTAAAATCAAGATCATGATTTTCTCACGATTCTGAAGATATAAAATAAAGGGTCATATAAATAGGATATTATATGTATTATTGTTATTCTCAAACATATTAAACAACAACAATTATATTAGGTGTATGTGTAGGTCTACTCTTTGGTTAAAATGCTAAATTTTTAGGAATGGTGGACTTAAACAGATTGTCCTGGTCATTAACGCACAGTAAAATGCGTAATTTCACAATTAATTTCATAAATCTGACGTTGAATTATTGTGTATGAGACAAATGCTTCCAATATGTCATTGGCAAAATTATTAGATCTTTTTTTCATTGGTAAAATGAGTCATTTGTTATTATCAGATTCCCTGTTGCATTATATTTAATGGTATATAGGCTAGTAGTTAAACTGTCCCAGTAAACATTTTTTTTCATGCACAACACTTTGTGTTTGCTATTAAAAAAAATATATCAAATGCTTGTCCTAATCATAACTCTAAAATGCGATTTGATAATTTAAATGATGTGTGCGCTTTCGGTTTCACTTTCACTGCTGAGTGCGCTTATGTAATGGCTGCCGTCACTCTGAGGAAAGAAACATACATGCAAATCATACTTCCCACACAGCTCTCAAACGATCGTGCTGTGCAACAAACTGAACGTTAATTACAACTTTATTTTCTGTTACTACAGTCTATGCAGGTTCTGTTCACACATCATTTGCGGGCACACAGGCGTCCTCTCATTAGCAAACAAACAGTGTGTTAGCTCCTGTGTCATTTGCGGCCGCAAATACATCATTACAATAAGAAATTACATTTTTGGGTAAACTATACCTAATAAATGCAGTCTGTAACTCTGTCAACACTATTTGGAGGTGTCTATGTTGCTGAGCAACGTATGTAAAACAATGTGAAGACTTGTTCGACTGCCTTTACGCTTTTCTTCTGACCTTGAAAATATAATTAGCTGAATCATAGAATTGCTGAATTAAGATCGTGTTGGGGAATGAATTGAGATCGTGATCTTGTTTTGATCAATCGTGCAGCCCTATCTGGATTTTGAACATCTTGTGACCATTGCGGTTTATGGAGGATGAAGAAGCTTTTAGTTTTCAAGAATAAACAACACAATCTCACGGCAATTCGTAACTTTTTAATTTAGTGGCTAATTCGTATGAATTTGTACAATCTAATTCGTACAATTTAGTACGATTTGCTTATCCCCCAATGACGGTTGGGGTTAGGGGTGGGGTCAGGTGCCACGCCTCCTTTTTAAAATCGTACCATTTCGTACGACTGAACTCGTACAAATTCATACGAATTAGCCACTAAACTGGCAAAACGTAAAATACTTACGTTTTCTCCTGAGATCAGGCTGGAATAAAGGGAGAAAAAAATGAGAAAATTGACAATGTTTTTATTTCCTTTTCTGGACATTTTGGGCCTGTTCCTGACTGGAGGACGAGAGAGCTCAGCTTAATATGTTTAAAAAAATAGACAAAAAAGGTCTGGAACAACACAAGGATGAGTAATTAAATTTTTGGGTGAACTAAACCTTTAATATTATCATCAGGGATGGATTTAGTGATTTAGGGGCCCAAAGCAATTCCAGTCAGTGGGGCCCAAAAGTCCTAAAATCCACCTATTTGCTGTTTTTATTTCTTGTATCACTTAATCTCCTTTTTTACTTTTTTATATAATTCTAAATGAAAATGACATGTAAAACATCTTGTAAAATTTTTTAATTATTAGTTTTCTTAAAATGAATTCACAGTTAAAAATATTATATTAACTATATATATATATATATATATATATATATATATATATATATATATATATATATATATATATATATATATATATATATATTAACTAAATCATTACTCGTTTGATGGCTGGTCTGCTCCATGATTCAGGGTGGGGGACACATATGACACATAATAATTATGTTCAAATTAAAAATTGTATACCTTCACCAAACAAAATATGATTGAAAACTAGGTTATAAATAATTTATGTTTATGGGTATTTATTTGGAGGCCCCTTAGATTTTCTGTGGCCATAAGTGGCCACTTATTGGTTAAATCTGCCCCTGAATGTTATACAGTGGTACTGTGTTAATCTGTGAAATGCAATGTGGTTTGTTTTGGTGTGTTCCTCTTGACAATAAACATCATTTCTTTCTGTTTTAGAAAAACCTTAAAGTTCTGAATTCAGTTAATTTGGAATTTGAGCAACATGGAACTCACTGTTGAACCACACTGTGAACCAGCTGTTTCTGAAGCAAACCTTGAGCACCTTTCACTTTCGGACCCTCTGTCTTCTGTGGAAGCACCATTAGATGGTATTGAGCATGGAATGGAGGCTGCAGTTCGAAACAGTGGCCTTGAGTTAAAACTGGACCTCTATGTCCCAATACCACCAATAATAGAGCCGATAACTCCTGTAGAGGAAACAGTGGAGCATTGTGTTCTTCCTGTGGCAACACAAGAGGACGACACACAACCTGAAGCCACAAAAGGGGAAACAGATGCCAATGCTGAACGTTTTGAGTGTGAAAATCAGCCAAGTGTGATTGAATCGAGCTCAGATACTGTGACAGAAGCACAATGTGAACAAGCATCCAATGAAACGGCCTCATCAGACTGTAAGGCTGCACCTTGTAAACCAGAAGAGGCTGTAAGCTCCAAAGAAACACCACAAACGCGTAAAGCCTCATCTGGACGTAAAGCGTACAATACAGAGAGAAAAAACATCCCTCCAAAGAAGGACAAATTTAACCCTCTGAGAATTGACATGGCCAAAGTAATACCTCTCACCTGTAAGTTCTTCATCTATAATTTGAGTATTCCTAGATTTCTTTAGGTTCTTATATGTGGTAATATCTGTTTTGTTAATGCAGATTACTGCTGTCATGTTGAACAAACCAGTTATGGATTTATTTTTCTAGTGGCACTTATTTGACTAGGTAATAATTTATTCACAGTGTCATAATTTACTCTTTCTTCACTACACGTAATTTTCACAATCCAAATATCAGCTAATGGATAAAATCAAGTTCTGTCCTTTATAGCAAGTCATTTCCCTTGGAAATCACATATGTAGTTCAGGACTGGAAGATTAATTGAAGGAAATGTTCATGTGCTTTTGGTCAGTAAAGCCAGTTCTAGTAGACCTCCAGCATGTGCTTTTAAGATGGAGCAACATTTACAACACAAAGACAGTTCACTGACAAGCTGAGATTTAAAAGCAAATTCGATTGAACCAATCGATAATAACAAAGAGATCCTTGTTCTGTGATAAAGACAGCTGTTTGCATCACTTCAGTGATCTACGACTCCATGAGGTAAATGCTGAACGTGAATTTACCACAAATAATAATTAAGTTTTAATCCAAACTCACTGCTTAATGTCATTCGAGTGTTTGAAGTCCTTATTTTGAGATAATTCCATAGTCATGTGTTAATTAGTCAGTCAATTAGTTAATCAATTAAAGCTGTTAAATTTTCTGTTTATTCAGCAACCACTATGGCAATTTCCTGGGCGTCTTCATGGGAATTCGGGTTTTCTGTGAGAGTGCCCTATGGCTTTCGGAGATTTACTACAGATCACACCGTGCTTTCCTGACAAGATGTGCATGAGAATTGTAGATTTGTTTAATTACATTTGCAACTTCATTACAATTAATTACCCAGCCTTAATGCATTTCAGATCTCCTGGTTCATTTAGTCTGGACCAAAAAGAAAATGATTAATTTAGTCCATGCTTGCTTAGAAGCATTTTAAGACAGAAGATAAAGATTAAAAAAGCACCAGAAAAAAGGGCTTTATGGAACATTCCAAACAATAGGTGCATTCCAAATCGCATACTTATGGACTATTCTACGCTACTTTGTAGTATAAATAGTGTAAGTAGTGCATTCACACTGAAAACTCAAAAAAAAAAAAAAGAGTAAGCGCACTTTAAATATCATCATGTTGAACTTATTCATTTGTTAAAATTAAGTGTGTAATGATGGACACTCCAAACACTCAACGGCTGCTGCTTTGACCATGTAGCAGAAGGGGCAGAGCTTTCAGGCACTGATGTTGGATTTCTTTCTTTATTTTGGATTGTCAAAAGCAAAATTCTCCTACGAGAGTTATTATACCACCTCCTAATGGTGAATGCGATTATTCTCATGGCAGGTATTATTTAGTAGTTTAGTTAATTATTTCACTAATTTGGCAACCATCAAACGTCATCTGGGAAAAGGTTTGAATCGCCGCTTAGTAAAAAAAACAACATTAGTGTTCCTGTGACGACACTACATACATATGCTATTCTGTTGAGTGTGTAACTGCATAAGTGCATAGTGTGCCATTTGGGAACGCAGCAAATGTTGTGTACTTGTCTAAACATGCTAGTTTTAGGTACACACATAATGGCATTTTATAGGGTATTACTCTTGGCGGTATCCAAATTTTGATACCCTCAAAACTCCTCCCTATTTTACCTCGGTATACGGTATTACCGTGCATAATAAAAAATGTATGATGTAAGGCTCAGACAGCGTCACCAAACTGTTGGCTTGTGCCCAAACCATTCAGAAACTGAATACCGTATATGCAACCCTAGGTTTGCGGTCACCCGTTTGTTGCACAATTTGCAAATTGTCTTGTTCGTATTAGAGATCTGCGCGCTGTCTGTATAAACACAGACACAGACGCACAGCACCACACTCTCTCATTCACACACATACACACGCACATAGACAGCACCAAGCCAGCAACGCATATCATCTTGCTCTCTCTCTCTGATTCACACACACACACACACTTAGACAGCACCAAACAAGCGACACATAGCATCACGCTCTCTCTCATTCACACACACACACACACACACACACACACATAAACAGCATCCACGAGGGTGCAGGCATGCTCACTCGGGAGCGATATTATTAGACCGCCCGCTCCGATTCAAATTACACCAGAGTTACAGAGCGCTCCCGCGCTTTATTTGGAAATTTATTCCCGCACCACAAGAAATATGTTCGGGTCCCGCGGTTCCCGCGGTACAGCAGCGGGAAATCAGACCTCTAGTTCGTATTTTCACGTCTCCCTTCTCGTTCGGTTGAAGCCCGAAATACTGCCAAACTACGGAGGTTGTGTTTTTTTTTTTGAGACCAGGTCACTTGGTGCGCGACTCGCCATCTTACCTCACCTCTCTCTCTCCTCACACTGTCCCATGATGACAGTCATGCATACGCATTTTTAGGCATTAAATAAATAATATTTAATACTTGTCCCCTATATAAGTGTATTGTTTTTTATGATAATATAACGGTATTGAAACTGATACCGTTGCAGTTTTTAGATCCCACGCTATACCATATTACCGCCCAAGCCAATAGGGTATATGCACAGATAGTGTTTCTTACAATAACGATACACTTCTTGAGAACAGTCAATGTGACTTTTGTTCAATTTCATAAGGTTCCTTTTACAGCATCAATGTTATAATGTAATTAAATATAATCAGTTAAATAGACTTAAGCATTCATTTAATTCAAGCGTAAAACAAGATGTAAAGCCGTTTACTCGCACGCGCACATCAGGATCATCAGGCGAAGGCAGAAACTCCATTAAAAATACTGGAGTGTAATAAATGTTCATATTGTAAAGACATGCTGTGCGAAAATTTTATTTAATGCAGTGCTTCTTGTGCAATCTGAAACCCACTTTATATCAAATATCAATTAGGCAGTGGAGATCATTGATTTAAAAAAAAAAAAAAAAAACAGACCTTAAACGTGACGATTTTGTAACTGCATACAGTTCACCTAAAGCGCCTGACCCAGGTTATACCCTATTGGATTGTCTAACGAAGACAAACGAAGATCTATTGAAAGTAAACCTGTTTCTAATGCCTGTAGTTTTGTGTTGACTCTACCCATTTGTTCTTTTCTAACACATTTTGTTTTGCTTTTCTTTCAGCATCCCAGCTTTCACTACAGTGCATGGAGTGTCACATCATCTTCAGTGACTCTAAAAGCAGAGATCGCCACATTAAATTGAGTCACCCTGCGGAGTATCAAAAGAATATGATGAGAGATGTTGTCTTTACGTGCTATGTATGTGATCAGTCTTTCACCTGCTCCACAGAGCTTATGGCCCATCAGCGCACACACACAGATAATGGGCGGTTCAAGTGCCCTTTCTGTAGTGAGGCCTTTTACACATCCTCCGAGCTAACAAGTCACAAAAAGAAGATGCACTACAGCAAGCATGGATATTCTTGCACAGAGTGCGGCAAGCCTTTTAAAACATTTACTTTGCTCAGATACCACCAGCGGGTACACACAGCAGAAAAGCCTTATGTTTGCCCACGCGAAGCTTGTGATAAAATGTTTTCTACGTCTAAATCTCTTCGGAACCATTTACAAAAACATCAAAAAGAAGAGGGCAAGGGGGACCAGACAAATGCTTCAACAACCATTAAGAAAAAGAAGACTAAAGGTAATCAGCCTAACATTTTTTTTGATCGAGTAGATGTTTAATATGAAATTATGTATAGTTCAATTAGATATTATATAAAATACTAGTCTTGAAACAGACATATTGTATATATGCACTGATATTGCATGTCAAGCAGATACTCACAAGTTTATAACCAGTTCCAAAAGCTGGATATTTAAATAATATAATATACTTAGATAAAATTAATCACTAAAAAGTCATGACAAAGGTCGTTTTTAAGTCCAGTATATATATATATATATATATATATATATATATATATATATTTATTTATTTATTTATTTATATATATATATATATATATATATGGTTATGACAAATTTAACACTTGTTGATAACCAATATGACACTAATAAAATTCAATTCATTTTTATGTGTATAGCGCTTTCACAATGTGGATTGTGTCAAAGCAGCTTCACATGATTATAGTGAATTAAAAGTGTCAGTTTTCAGAGTTTAAGTTCAGTTCAGGTCAGTGTGGTTTATTATTCACTGCTGAGACACTGGGGAGCAGATACATCGATGCACAGCTTTACAAGTCTCGAACCATGCAAGCCGGTGGCTAAAATATTCTCTTATTATACTGTGATTTCCTCAATAATGTTAGAGTGTGATTAGAAGGTGGTTAAAACCCTTTAACTGCCTGCTCTACCAAATTGTTGGCCATATTTTGACTGTTTTAAATAATGACTGCTAAAGTAATTTAAAGAATGGTTTACACTAAGCAGCATTGTTGGATTATGATTAAATCAAACGAACATAATCCTGTTGCATTATTACACTTAATTTTGGTTTTATTGTAAATACAAAAACAAGAAAACATGTTAAATGAGAATCTGAAATATTTTATGGTATACTGTAAAAAGTAAAGATGATTTAGTATTCACAAATGTTTTATTTTGATTATTTAAAAAATAAATTGGTCTTAAGGCCTGTGCACACCGAGACGTTTTTTGCTCAGGTTTTTCATCAATGTTTAATGCCTCGTGACTATATAAAGGGCGTCAATGTGCACACCAACGCGCAAAATGCCAGGCGCAAAAGCGTCATTTAAAAAAACGCCTCATGCTCGTTTTTTTTTTAATTCACGCGCCACGTTAAACCTTCTCCACCAATTAGGTTGGCACTTTTGTTTACGTGCACGGAGCTGCTTAAGTTACAGTAAACAGCACTTGGAGGCGCTCAAGCGCAAAACTGCATTGCGAGCGCACATTGAAGAAGATGCCCAGAGGCGATATGAATAACAAAATGAACAACAAATTAATGAATTATGTAAAGGGTATATTAACAAAATTGAGGGAACACTGAAGTCCTCTGACCTAGAAATTTAAAACAACCACAAGAGTAAACTTAAATCTTTTATTCTTTTGTTCTTATTAAATCAACAATATAGAAAGCAAAAGTTTTCAGGGGCCTGTTTCAGAGTATTTTACCCTGAAATGAGAGAAACTTTGGGTTTTTCGTTTCAAAATGACAAGTTTGTCAAACTGGAGAGAGCAGTGTAAGTCAAGCCTGTTTCTGAAAGAGAGGTAACTTTAACCCAGAGTCAATTACCAGTTACTTTTGTGTAAGAAAGAAAGTCATATAAGTTTGAAACAAACAAAGGGTGAGTAAATGACAATCTTAAATTTATATGACATGATTTGTATATGACAATTTTAAATTTAGAGTGAACTATCCTATGTGAGAGTTTCTGAGCAAACCTTTTTTGTTTCTTTATATTTTTCATTTCGTTATTCTGCAGAAACTAGTGAAAGGAAATTTCCATGCCCGCACTGTGAAGCAGTTTTCAAGGCCTCTAAAGCTCGACTTCTTCACATAAAAAATAAACACTCCCAGGAGTCGCAAAGTAGCACTGTTTTGGTGCCACAGCCCAAAGCACCTGGACCTACTCTGGTGCATACAGCAAATGGACAACCACCGACTCTGTTTGTGGAAACTGTAGGACCAGCATCACATCCAATGGCTGCAAATAAGCTGGATGCTGTGCAAATTAAACGACTAATTGAGAAACTTGGAAATGTACAGAAGGTAAATCAGTTGGTTATACTGCCTTTACAGCCACACCGTTTTGGTTTACCTCATCCTCAACCATTACATGTGAATTTTACTCAGCCAACACAGCTTGAACAACCCAACACAGACCCATCAAATGCTGATCAAATTAACCTCTCGAATTTGCAACCGAAGGAAGCTGCTGTTCTGTCCCAAGAGGGAAAATCTTTTTACCCAGAAAATTCAGAGATCCAAGTTACACCTGTTGAACTAACCCAAACTGAGGCACAAATGCAAATGGAAGAAATTCACCTTGAACTCATACCGATACAAACTGAACCTTCTGTTTTGCTTGATCAAACGCCTTTACAGGTTGAAGCATCACAAAATAATTCTGTTCTTGAGCTGCCACGTACAATAGAGGAAAATATAACAGTCACACAAGCTAATGAATCTTTGGAAACAAATGAAGAACCACCTTTAATCCCTCAACCTGAAATGGAAAAGTCTAATCATGTGGAGGGAGTTGCAGTTTTGAAAAGAAACAATGACCCACCTTTAATTCTTCAACCTGAAACCTCAAAGTCCTATCATGTTAAAGGCATTGCATCTTTGGAAACAAATGATGAAGTAAGTTTATTTTCTCAGCCTGAAACTAAAACAAAGCCTAATCAGGTGGAAGGCATTGCAGCTTTTGAAATAAACAATGAACCACCTCTAATTTCTCAGTCTGAAATGGCAAAGTCTCATGTGGAGGAGGACATTGTGCAAGATTACACAGTAACATCTGAGGAGATCGTTTCAAGAACAGAAATGCCATGTCCCACACAAGATTCAACAGACATTTCAATAGGATCACACTTAGAGGGGATAATTAAACAAGGCGATATTAACAAATTAAGCAAGCCTCAGGAAGTTCTGCAAATCCAAGCTCAAAAGGAACAAGTTGAGTCAGAACAACAGCCATGCATTAAAGGGCCCCAACCACAGCCTGATTCTTTTAATAGTGTGCAGAATGACAAAATAGTAAACCAACAAAGCTCTGTGCCAACACCAAACCAGACTCAAGTTGGGTTACAAGATAGTACCTGTGTTCAGAAGAAACTTCCAACAAAGAAGAAAAGATCCAAGAAACAATTGGGGAATGAACGAGAGAATAAGGAACCAAGTAAAGAAATTGACAATACGGCATCATCATCCAAGAAAGTCAAAACTTCATCCAAGGTCAATCCTAAGAAAAAGGAAAATGCAAAAAACAAAAAGCTTGTTGTAAGGTTTGGACCCAGCGAGAAGAAAAAATCCTCTAAACCGAAGGTGATCAAAACATCTAAAACAAAACAAAACCAGAACCAGCAAATTTGCGATGAAGGTCATGTGCCTGCTTTGTCTGAGAGTGAAAATAAATTGGATTCTAACCAAAAATTGCAGAAAGATAAAAAAGGAAAGGGGGCTGAATCTCCTTCAGGAGGAACAGTGAAGTCAGTGGGTCAAATTAATAATGCAACTGACAGTGTTTTGGTGGCGCCAGAAGCAGCACAGCAAGGGAAACCTCAGAAGAGAAAATTGAACAATCCAAACAATTTGGTCAAAAAGGCAAAGTCTGTCCAAGAGGCTCAACAAGATAAACCGGCAGTACATATGCCAAAGAAAAAGAAACAAGCCAAAATTTCGGAAGACGACGGTCCTAAGAAACCCAAGGTTAGAAAGACCCAAAATGATGCTTTTCAGAAAAAAACACAAAAAATACCAAAGCATAAGGCAAAACAGGCTAAATGTAGTCCTGATGTTCCGGACCAGGCTCACATAGAGAAACAAGCTTTGCTCTTGTTGAAAGGTCATAAGCAACCTCAGTTGAAGGTACACAAGTTAGATGCCACTGAACTTGAAAAATCACCCCCGAGCAAGAATGATAACAAGGTACTGCAAAAAAACAAAAATGCAAAAAATAAATCCTTGAATGTAGCACACCAAAAGAAAAAAAAGTCAGGTGGAACCAAATTGTTGGAGCATCTGGGTGAGTCCTTATCTTTGGAAATGCCCCTTGTTGAGAACAGTCCAGGTTCTGTGCCCACAAAGCCGAAAATTGTACGGAAACGCAAAGCTCCTATTAAGATGGACCAGGAAATAGCTTTGAGCCCTCCATACTCCCAACTTACTCTTGGGTGCCAAGATTGTGGGAAGACTTTTTCAGAAGTGTCTGCATTGCAGCAACACATGGCATCCTGGCACTCTGCTGGAAAGTTAGTCTTTTCAGACGAAATTAATGTAGCTAAAAAACGTGTCATTCAAACTAGCCCTAAAGAGAAACGTATTCTATCTAATGTCTTTGAAATTCAGGTTGCAACAGATTGGGATATTGAGACTGAAGTGGGTGAGATTGTAGGCGAAAGACTGTCCTTCCCAGCATTAAGTCCATCTCCATCTTTGACACTTGCCTCAAATTGTGCTGATGGAAAGGAACAAGAAGGAGACAAAGATGCTGAAGGAATTGCTCTTGGGTTTGAGGAACCTGCAGAGAAAAATTCTTCTGAAGTGTGCGAAATCTCAACAAAGTCATCAACCCTAGTATTAGTCAAAACCATCGTGCCTCAGGAGGTCACTGAAGATGCTGTTGAGAGTGTTTCAGTGAAAGAGCAAAGCAATGAGTTCAATCCTATCACAGAAATTTCTTGCGACAAAGTCAAAGATGCAGCAGAGGAAGAAATTAAAGAAGAACTGCCCTTAGGGGTGAATTTAATAATGGTTGGAGACCAAAATGCAGAAGAGAACCACAACACTGAGGTGAGAAATATTTCAGGTGTCTCACAAGAGCCTGAAAATGAAGTGAGCAACCCATGTTCCCAGTCTCAAGAACCTGCAAAAGATGCAGAGACTGTTATGAATCAGAATGTTCTTACAGAGATTAAGCAAGAAGAGGAGGAGGTCCTTGTCCGCGAAGCTGATGATAATAAAAGAGTAATTGGAGGGAATTCTGTAAAGAAAGGTAAAAAGGGAGTTGGAAAAGCCTGGGGCAAGAAATCAGTTGGAAGAAGAGCTAGCACAGAAAACAGAAGTAAAAAGGACATGGAAGGAAATAAGGAGGCAGAGGAATGCCAGGTTCTGTATCACCTCTGTATAGTTGACAGTGCAGAAATAAAGAATAAAGAAACAGACAAGAATGGAGTTAATGCCTCTGAAACTCCTCAAGTGTCGACTTCTGACGAGGCTCCTGAGGAGCAAGTGGTTTTTGAGTTGGACTCTGTTACCACAAGTGTAATGGATATTGTCAACTCTGAAGAAGGATCATTTGAGACATCTCAAGAGCTGGTCAGAGAAGGCAGCTCCCCTGGAATCATTCTGGAAAAATTCTTTACTGCTCGTGAGAGAAATATGGAGACCCCAAACATCCAAAGTCCAGTTAGACAGGTCAGTGTTTTTCATGTTTTTCTGACTTTTAGATGCATCGACATTTGGCCAATTCTGTTCTGTAGACCAATGGTTTAAATAAAAAGCATTCATTTTTAACCATTTCACACACACACATTTGAAATACTCCTGCTGAAACACCTGCATGATTTTTCTAACAGTTAATTAGAACTTCTCGTTTCAGATTTTTCATGGTAACGCATCAAGTTTATAATGTGAAACACAGAGACTCTGATGATTCATGCATACAGCACTATATAAATTAATATATCATGTTCTATGTGATATTGTAATTGTAAAATATATTTTATTCCGGTTCTCAAATGTGTGTACGAACACATATTCCATCATTTTAAGGTCCCATGAAGTGCTTTGAAATATGCATTTTTATTCAATGTTTGACTTAATGTCAACCAAAACACGAAGAAAGGGTGGGACATAGTGTAGCTCCTCCACTAATTTAAAAAAGCCAAATAGCATTGTTTTATCACTGCTCTGCTAGTGAGGGTGGTTAAGCTCAAGTGCATCAAATGAAAAAGTAAATAAGAAGCATGTTGAAAGGGGCAGGGCATGTCAGATACTAGAGAGCATTTGATTGGTTATGATTTGATTAAAAACTGTAGTATGAGGTGACGTTGATGCATTTGGGTGCAAGTGACAAACCGCATGCTTTTCATGTTTATTTGAGTTTTATATCTGCTAAATGCAATTTTTGTCACTGTTTTAGAGCACAGTAGCTTATAGATATCCTAAAAACAAATAATACTGATATTGACATTTAAAAAAACTTTTATTTTAATTTCATGTGACCTTTAAATAGCTTAATACTTATCATGTTATTTAATCTGACGGGTAATGGGCACCGCCATGTTAATCTACGCTGCAGGAGAGATCAGAGCTACTGGACTTACACCTTGTTAATTCATTATTTTCTCCCAAAATACATAAAGTAAGTGGCAGTTTAACTGGGAGAGGAATAGAGTAAATGTTCTTTTAACATAAACAGTGTTTATTTTGCATGAATAAAGCACAACTTCCATTTACATTGAGAAATAAAAACAAAAGACTTTACCGTAGACTTGTACTTGTACATCTCAATACTCTAGGACGTATGTGTATTTGAAACCCAAAATAAATGTTATTTGTTTGAAGAAAAAAAACCTGATAGATTGTAATTTATGAAAAATAAGTGCACCTCTTTCTATGCATATGCACGAGCCATCAGATTTGAATTTAGCAGTGATAAGTTAGATGGTTAAGCTGTTTTAGAGGCCATTGACTTCATTGTGTTGTGTATTGTCTCATTTCCACTAAGTGGTATGGTTCTGTATAGTACAATATGCATGCAATAAGTTTCTTTCCAATGTAAGAAATACTAAAATAGTCTGCGCAATAGCGTAGTGGTTTACGTGCTGTAATATGGTGCAGTAGCACTTCAGGGCGCCATGAGTTCAAATCCCAGCTCGAGGACATTTCTTGTCGCTACCCTCTCTCTCTCTCTCCCACTTCGCTTCCTGTCTGAAATACTGTTCTATCCACTTAATAAAAGCAAAAAGGCTAAAAATATATATATATATATATATATATATATATATATATATATATATATATATATATATATATATATATATATATATATATATATATAAAAAGAAATACTAAAATAGCAAAGTAAACCATAGCCATTTTTTTTTGTCCAAAAGGATACCTGGAACAACACTCTATGGTACCAAAAATTCTGCTAAACAATATTGGTTGACAGATAATCAGATAATCATCTCTTGCACATGTGACAAGTCAGGGAAATGAGAACAAAATCAAATGCAATTTTTAAATACGCAGCCAAACAGAAACAATAATGTAATTACACAATGACCGTGCAGAAATGAACCACCCTCAAACAAAGCTTTTCTCTTCTTGTGACAAACAGCCATTTAAAAAGAAGCAAGAACATGATTTGCTGTATGTCCTCCATTGTTGTTTATGAGGCACACAAGCATAAGTGGAATTTTCATTTAAGTAATGAACTTGAGTGTGCAAAACACACAATATGTGAATGGCCTGTAAGGCTTCTTCTAGTAGGAATTATGTTAATCGCATATTTCTTCATTATTGTAAAGAAATATTGCATTTCCACATTATTTATTAATGTGAAAATGCAAATGATCAAGGTTACCTATACTGAATCATTCTTTACTGTTCTGTTCCATTCAGTGGAAATGAGGCACAATTTACAAGTGTATCATTAATTACCTAATGCTCTCTTTAAAGGCAAACTCCAAGATGGATAACAGTAAAGTGATTTCAGCTGGCACATCTTCTGACGTGAAAATGGAAGAACGATCTTCAAATCTGGTTCAGCACAACCCGACTTCTTCTGAGGGTGGTTTATTGCGGGGAGTACAAATGTTTTTGGTGAAAGCAGAAGACCACGTGTCTGCAACTGAGATATTCCAGACACTCCAGCCTGCACCTCCTCAACGGGTTGCATGTCCAGGTCAGTTTTGAGCAAATGATATACAGTACTTAACTGTTAGTGTCTCTTTGCTAATTGGTATATCAACTGACATGATATGAAATGATCCAATATATGGATGTGACTACCTACATTTTTGGCAATGTGATTTATTGCCCATTATGTTTACATTTAAAATAAGACAATTACACTGCCATGTCCTCTTATCTATCTATGTGTCAAATAATTAGGCTCAAGAAACTCCAGCACATGCACAGAGCCACATTTACAGCTACAGATTAATAGGAGCAATTATTTAAACTTTTCCTGACAATAACAGGTAGTTAGTTGAAATAAAAATGTTAGTCATTGGTGTGAAACTATATAAACTATTTGACTGCAAGAAATTGCATATACACTTGATAGCTTAACTCACTATATAGCAAGTGTAGCCATTAAATGCTGTCTAAATGGAAGCATGTAATACCTTAATGTAGATTATCATTTTTGCCTCTGTTGTACAGTTTTTTTTTTTCTGGGGGGACAATACGTCTTCAGTGCTTCCCACACATAGACTTTACTTGGGCGGGCCACCAAGGTTTATTTAGTGACGCATGTTGTTTTTACTATTAATAAAATCCTTTTACACTTTATTGTGTCCATCTAATATAACCAAACATCTGCGATCAATTAAGTAGTGGAAAATCCTCTCTCGTTTACTCGTTTCTTTCTGTGCATGCGATACCTGTCAACACTCCCATAGAGAGTCGCATGCTTTGCAGACACACTGAGACGCGTCTTTTTGGCACATAAAAAAATTGTCTGGCTGGGCTTTGAAAATCTTCTAAAATGTTCAGGATTTGGCTTTTGCTTTCTTTGTTTTCTTCGTTTTTGCATTACCTTTTTACTAAAAGGTTCACGAAACCCTTGAGTACTTTTTTTGAGATTTTAACTGATGTGTGTATGTTGAGCATCAGTTAAGACAATGTAAGCAACTGTTAGCTTTAATTGTGAGAAATTTTGGATAATTTAAAACTTTTGTCAGATTATTTCAGTTTCCGGGTTTAAAATGATTTTTGGGGCGGGATCAAAATCGGCGACGTATCGCAAAACTGCATGTGCAAAGATGACACGTTAGTTTCTCATTATTAATTATAGCGGAGTTTTCCTATCCTGCTTCTTAATTATTCATGACTGCACGTGCTTTCCGAAGTCATGGCAGACCTGCCAGTGCCAAGCTGCGAGACACGGACCCACGCCACACAGCAATTAACTGTTCATGAAGGGACGCATGTGTTTGTTTCAATGATCCACAGGTTTTATTGCATGTTTTTCCCCGCGATGCTGTCAGGGCCGATACAGCAAAGCTGTTTGTGTGCTGCAAGCATTTTTGTTGGGAGAGCAGTACGAGAATTGGAGAATGGTGGATGTTGTCTTTTATCAGGAGTTCATTTACATTTAGACACATCGCTGTGTTTGAAATAGGCAGGGCAAGAGACCTGCTGCAATGAGTCTGCATTCAGACCTATGATCCAGACCCTGGGATTGAGGAAAAAGTCCTCATTTATAGTGTTTATATGAACACGATTATCTTTATAATGATATAAATTGTGGTTGTGTGTATATGAAATTACGAACAACAAATGTAGCAGGGCATAAATTACTGTTTATTTCCTTGCATTTTAAGTTTGTAAACTATAAAATCATGGGTCTCCTCACGGTTTGCGTCTCCTTTTGTGAGCCGACTGACAACAATTGTTCGCTCCCCTCCTTCTGCCCTGCTGGCCACGCCCACTCCTGCCCTTTGCTCACGGAGTTCCACGCCCATTATGATGCATCTTTTGAAATTATTTGAGGTAGACCTGAACCGAAAGTGGGGGGTGTCATGACCCTTTAAGCCTATACTTTGCTTGGCTTTGCAGCTGACTGCGCACGCACAGAAGAAAAATTTAATAATTAATTCTTGAATCTATACAACTCAAAAAAACTTTACTATATACTCTGAGGGAACAAAACGACTATTCTAAACAGGCTGCAAAATATATGTACACCATTAGTTAATCAACACATTTTCCATTTAAATAATCTACACATTTTGCTCTTGTAGTTATTATAATTTATAGAGATATTGTCTGTTTTTATTCTTTTTTCTGTTATTTATTTCTCATTTGCTAATTATTTTATTAATTTAATGATGCCATTGGGCTATATTACATAGGCTATTTTATTTACATATCTAAAATGCTTTGGCATTCGAGTTTACTTTGAACTTGAAAGAGAGAGAGAGAAGTAGATTTTACCTGTGGGTGCACATGGCTCCTAAATAGCACTGAAGTAAGAGAAATGGTAGATTCTTCTTTTGTTTCAACAATCTTTTTTTAACCCATTGAAAATAAATAGTATATAACAGTGGCATAATAAATTAAATTATTGTTAGAAATTACACTATGTTTTCTTTGTCGCATATAGTTAACTATTTATGTAATGTGGGTAAGTGGTGTGTTTTAATCCAGCTACCCCCGCAAGTATATTTCAAACCTATGGAAGGCACTGTGTTTTGCCCAAAACTAGTTATAGGGGAAGGTCAAGGATCTGTTCTAATTCAGTAGTATCAATGTTCACTATCAATGATAAGCATGACAAAATGACATCTGGCACAGCTTGTGTTTGTTTGAAATGTTTGTCCTTTTATCATATTTTCTTTCAAGTGTGTTTTCTTTTTTTACTGTTTTATTGTCTTATTAATTTATGTATTTTTGCTTGCACATATGTTTCTAGAACATAACATTTTCAAAATGTCTTCAACACTTTATTGAATAAAACATCTTATACATTAATATTTACTAACATATAATTCATTACTTACAGTTATCTGTGCCTGTTCTTCCTTTTTTATGCTAAGCTAAATATTTGATTTCTTTCAGATAAGGCTGCTGATAAGACTGCGGTGCCCATTCAGAACTACAGCAAACAATGTATATTTTATCCCGTTAAAGAGGAAGAGAGGGAACTTTTAGTGGAGTCTCCTCCTGCAGCTCAAACAAGCTTGGGTTCTAGAGAGCACACAGGTGAGACGCACACAATTTAGGATTTTGTAGATATTTATATACAGTAATATAATTTGTGTGAATGCATTTCTTTTGTATGCTATTATTAATTAGTCCCACATGTAACACACAGGGCCTTCATCTGGAATTGAAGAATGTGAGGAAATCAGAGTGGATTCAGTGCAAATGGACATGCAGCAATTGTACACAAACTCTGAAGAGGGTAAATAAAAGATTGACCAGGTTATATACAGTTAAAGAATTATTAGCCCCCCAGTTTATTTTTTCCTCAATTTCTGTTTACCAGAGTTTTTTTAACACATTTCTAAACATAATAGTTTTAATAACTCATTTCTAATAACTGATTTATTTTATCTTTGCCATGATGACAGTAAATAATATTTGACTAGATACTTTTCAAAACCCTTCTTTACTTCTTTTTAAAGTGATATTTAAAGGCTTAACTAGGTTAATTAGGTTAACTAGGCAGGTTAGGGTAATTAGTCAAGTTATTGTATATCGATGGTTTGTTCTGCAGACTATCGGCAAAAAAAGCTTATAGGGGCCAATAATTTTGTCCTTAAAATGTTTTTTTTTTTTTTTTAATTAATAGCTGCTTTTATTCTAGCTGATATAAAGCACTTTCTCCAGAAAAAAAAACTAATTATCAGACATACTGTGAAAATTTCCTTGCTCTGTTAAACATTATTTGGGAAATATTTAAAAAAGAAAAACAAATTCAAAGGACTTCAACTGTATATATAATATGTGGTTTATTCCCTGAGGTCAGTTAAGAATGTGCTTTACTGTTTCCATAGGTGATGTTTCTGAACAGCAGAGGACTCAAGGCTTCTTAGAGTTTCTGTCTGAGAATACGGACGCAGTTGATGCAGGTAATATCCATTCTGAACCAGAAGCTGAAACCATCGTCATGTCCTGTTACCATGGAATACAGAGTAATGGGACGGTACATCATAACGGCACAGAAAGAAGTGATCCATGTGTTAGAGCGTGAGTTCTGTTGGAATAATAATAATAATATTAATGTACCAGATTCAAATTACTGTCACTCAGCAATCTTTAACTGTTTTCCCCACTCTTCTTTAGAAATGTTGGTGCTTCTCCAGTGAGCCACAGAGAACCAGAGAGGCAGCTATGGAAGCCCATTACCTACTTCAATCAATATTTTAGTTTGGACACGTGGAAGGAAATTGCTGTTTGTACAAGTAAAGCCTCAACTCTGCCAGACCCGGTTACAGAAAAAGAGGTTGCAAAATATGTGGGAATACATATTGCAATGGGAACACTGAAGGTTAGTCATAACATTACAACATGAATATAAAAAATGTTTGGAAAATAGGATAATTCTCAATTGATGGTGACAAACATCTTGACATTTCAGTCATTGTCTTTGATATTTCAGCCATGGAAAGGATAGCATTCAATCATGAATTGGATTGATTTTATATTGTTTTGTACATGTTTTTAATATACTTGTGCAAATTTATTGAGTGCCCTGAACAACAAAACATACACCTACACCATTTTATGGCATTACTGTTTATTTATATATTTATTATTTGTTTTGTTTGCCTGGGATAAAGGCATGGCTTTAAGCAACAACATAATAATGTTTCCACCTGGTATCAAGCTGCATTCGAATTTGAGCATTTATGCGTGGATTTTATGAGACCCTTCCATATTTTTCCATCCTGCTCTACATCACTGTTGACAGAGAGAGGAGGTGGTCATTAGTGGCTGTTTGGATGCATTCAACCACAAGAGGGTTTACTTTACAAAAGTAGTCCAATCTAGGTATGGGATGATAACCGATTTCAAAGTATACCGCGGTTTGGAAAATTCAAGGTTTTAAACCCCCCCCCTAATTTTTTTTAATACGTTCGTAAGGTATGTGTACGATTTTTTTATTTACATTTTTTTTAAAACAACTGTATCTTCAGCAGAAAAAAAATATCCAAAGACGTCGTTTTAAATTGTAAAGTAATCTGTGTTTTTGAAACAAATGAAGACAGCAGAAGTCAATGATTCATTTGAATTATTTAGCCTGACATGTTTACTGCTCCAAATTATTATAAATCTTCCAAAAAATAAAATATATTGTTTTCAAAAGGGAAAAAAGTTTGTTTTTAGCCATACATTTAAAAAGTACATATTTCAGAGCATTAATCTTTGAATACTGTGAAACTAAGATTTTTTTTATCCAAGGTTATCTTACCGTCAGAAACTTATACCGGCCCATAACGGATGAATATATAACGGATATCCAATCTAATCTGTCTTTCTACTACCTCAAGCTCAAGGCATTTCAGACCCCATTTTTACCTATATTAGGCATCATCTACTTGGAACAAAACAATATATTGACAGTTAGTTTAAAAAAGATTTTCTTGTTTTTTAAGCAGTGTAAAGGGGTCAAAGGGGTTGTGGAAAACATATTTTAAAGGCCACGTATGATGAAAATAAGGTTTTGTAAGCTGTTTGGACAGAACTATGTGTAGGAATAGTGTGTTCACAGTCATATTGGAGTGATAGAAACACAATAAGTCTCTTTTTTAAAATTTCTTGATATTACAATAGGATCCAAATCTGCAATGTGATGTAAGAGTGCGGTTTCCCCACCCAGCAAATTGACTGGCAGCTAAATATTAACATGTCTCTGTAGTAACGTGTATAATTATATCTACAAGACAGGATAAGTGCAAAGCAACTTTGATTAAAATATCTGTTCAGCTCTCTGTGATCATCAGTCATCATCAAATATGCTCAAGAATGAGTTTTACAAGTTTAAAAGATTTTTAAATCAGTACACGTTTATAATGAATTACAGTGATTTTACCATCTTTATCAATACAGTAGCAATTCAGTACAAGAAGATGCTTCAATCCCGGTTTGTGGATGTTAAATCAGGTTTATTTTGTAAATGACCATAACGGATATCTGTGCAGCTGTGGATATTAACGTGTATCCTGTTACATTTTGTATTGTGTGTGACTCATCGCTGCAACCTCACAACAAATACATCCAATAATCATTGTGAAAGTTCTTACTGTAGTCTTTCTTACAAATGTTACCTGAGATCTGCTTCCTTCATGTCTGTCACTGAGCTGTTTATCTGACGCAGCCAAGGCGGAGATTGAGGCACACTCTGACAGGCACGTGGGAACGGTGGGTGGGGAGAACTAGCATTAAAGGCACAGGCAACACAAACAGCTACATTGTATTCAGAGCAGAACATTCCAATATTAACAAAGGTATAATAAATAATCTGATGGGTGTTGAGCTGAAACTTTACAGACACATTCTGGGGATCACAGAAGTCGTATCTTAAATCTTGAAAAAGGGGTAAAATAGGTGCCCTTTACAGGTCAAAATTACATTTTAGTTTTTGTTCAAAATACTTAATCTAAATGTAATTAACATTTAAATTGTTTAAAATTTTAAATGAAACTATTTTAGTTTGATAGTTGAAAGGTTTGATTGTTGTCACCATCTGATAGTTGTACATTGACCGTTCACAACAAAACTTACATTTTCTCCCTCTCTTTTCCTCTGTTCTCCTTCCTCAAAAAGTTTCCCAGCACTAAGCTCTACTGGGAAGATTACACACGAGTACCTCTGATCTCTGATGCCATGTCGGCTTCCAGATTCTGTGAACTCGCTTGTAAACTGACGCTGGTTGGTTCTGCTGGATCTTCCACTGAGTTGAGTATTGATCAGCATTCTGAAGAAACTAACAGTGAGCAACCAGGACAGAGTAACAAGGTAGCGCATGATTGCACAAACTCAAAGACAGATCCTTTGTGGAAGGTAATGCCATTGATTAGAAGAGTTCAAGATGGATGCCAGGCACTGGACCGAAATGGAAGCTACGGGGTCGACCAGTACCCCCTTCCTTTTCAAAGACACCCTACACATTCATTACTGCACACTGTTGTCGTAAGTGGTGGAGGGTTGGTTTTGGACTTCAACTTGAGCATAAATGACTCCAACAGAGAAAACTTTGTTGAAAAAATGGTCTCTAAAGGGAAGGAAAGAAATGACGGGATGGTGTTTCTTTGCAAACCAGAGCTTTCCACACCTTCTATGCTTGAGCATCTTCTAGAGGCGGGTGTGCAAAGTGCTGGAAAGGTCGGCGGGGCAAGAGGGCAAATAGGTGATGAGTTTGTGAGCTCAGACGGAAAGCTCAAACTTTTCAGATGTCACCATGGCTTTATCCTTTCAGCGGTGGTAAAGGAAAAGCCACGCTCCACATCTCTCGTCAGCGGCTTTGAGCGCGCGATTAAAGCTGCGAATCTCAACCGTGATTTAAGAAGTCTCTATCGTACTCCTTGCACAAACTCAGCCATCAGCGCTTGGCCACAGTCTGTCCTCTGGGACTTGATTGATTTGGTGTTGGTAAACGCATGGATACAATATAAGCAAGATTACAGCGATATTACCGATCTTTTATCTCTCATGGCGTTTCGTTTGGAGGTGGCCAAAGCATTGATTCTCTCCAGTGGTGTTGACGCTCAAGACTTGTCACCTCCCTGCCCTCCTGCTCCCAAAATTCACAGCTCGGATACAAATGCACGGCCCTCTCAGGTTCTTGACAACCCTTTGCCTGATGAACACACGCGGTATGACGGCTTCGGCCATTGGCCAGAGCAGCTGGCTGAGGGCGAGGAGGCCAGGAGGTGTCGATTTGGAGGCTGTGAGAGAACATCTCGTGTGCGGTGTCTCAAATGCTGTGTGTACCTGTGCATTTCCCGAAACCATAACTGCTTCCTGAAGTTTCACAGTCAGGGGTCTTCATGAAGCTCGCAAGCTGTGTATCTTTCAATTTAAAGGGATAGTTCACCCAAAAATCGAATTACTGCCATCAATTACTCATCCTCCTTTTGTTACAGAACTGTTTGTTTGGTTGTATATTTGTTTTGTTAAACACAAAATAATGTTGTAAATTAATTACCATTGACTTAAGGGTAAGTACATTTGGATTATTTTGGTGAACGATCACTTAAACATTTTTATTAATTGTATTAAATAATACAGAGAAGCTAGTTTGTTTGTTTTTTTTGTCAAAAACTCAAGCCATCCTTCCATATTTATTATAGTTGTGTGAAAATGACTCTGTTGAACCCATTTGAATGTATAATGAACGTTACACTGTGCTCTATGGTTTTGTTCTAACCGGAAGTTGTATTTAATTGTGTTTTGCGTTTTGCAAACAGTAAAAAAAAACATGCCATGTTCATTGTTTGCATTCTGTTTCCTAAAAAGGTAAGGTGCTCCATTAATTTTAAACATCACATGACATTGGGGGACAAAATATGTACTATATATCTTGACCACAAACTAACTAATTTCTTTCCATAACTATTTATTTAAATCTAATTGTCTTCATTTGTTTTCTAATAAGTTTCTTTAAGTAAACAAAAACTAAATTAAAAAGGTTCTAATAAATTAAACATTTAATTATATTTTTTTAATTAATTTCAGGCATACTGTGTGCCTGAAAAGATATTTAACCTTGTATATCATATTGGCCATGTAATAATTTGTTGCCTTGTTGTATTTAAATTAAAACAAGGCAACTAATTAAATCAGTGTGGCCTGTATTTGCTAAAACGAGGCAAGTGTCAAATATAAAAATTTGGAAAATTTTAATTTATGATCACAAATTAAGTAAAATGAGCAAACAACTTGATAAACTTGATCAAATTGACTTACTAAAATGAGAATAAATTCTTAGTTTGTGGTCACTATGCATATGTAATATTTTATATCATGTCAACCAGAGATTTGTAGGAATGTTACATTTTCATTTAAAATTTTGTGGCTGTTTTGCATTGTGCTTGTACATTGGCAAAGCATTTTCTTTTTATTTGTAGAATAAAATCCTTTACATTTTGAATGGGCTCAATCTTCTTGTTATACTCACTTTTATCTAGTGTGTAACCTATAACGTTACTGTTTTAGTATAGTCCCATGTATATGCAAAAAAATAAATTATGTTTGGCAACACACTTAACTAGGTTATCAAAATATTAAAGCGATTAAATCATTTTGCACGACAATCAAGGCATCTCGATACCTGTTCAGCTTTTCTCTGAACACAATGGAAAGTAAAGCGGAGTCTTGGCACGTGATGCAGGTTTTTTTTTTCAGTCTACCAGCGGGTCACTGATTACACGTTTGCGCCCCCTTTATTTTCATATGTCAGGCTTATGCCTTTTCCCTCCAGACAAGAAAAGGTTATTCACTTCCAGGTAAGAATCATGTCTTATTATTTTAAAACTCAAACTAAAATAAATCAGAAACAGCCCTCTTTTTGCGCTTTGTTTGAATAAGCTTTGACTAACGTTAGCGAACTTGCTTGATAGTCTAGACCAAGTTTAAACTCGAACTCAGCAGCTGGTTAATGTAATAACCGCTAAACATACAAACAAAAATGGTCAACATCTTGTTTTCTTAGTGAGTGTAGCAGGACTACAGCTGGACTAATTTCAATATATGAAGCAAAGAGCTAGTTAGCCGCATCGCGCGGTTTTGTTTTGCAGAAGCTCAAGGCCCCTGTAGGCCTTGTTAGCCAGTAGCATTTACGTTAGCTTAGCATTGCTTAGTTAGTGCGAACAAACGGTAGGCGGCTCTAAAACGCGCGATTTGAAACATTTGGTTCCCTTACCCAGGTTTCCAAAACAAAACTCTTTTTAGTTGTTTTATATTGTCGACACTATATTTTGACCATCAGCTGGGGTGTAAAGCGCATGTAACAAAAGTGGGTAAATATCATACTTTAAGCTCGCGTAACGTTTACTTAGTGTGGTTTAATGGCTTAGTCTCATTCAGCAATAAGAAAACTTCTCTCGTAAAACTAGCTGTTGAAAGGGTTGAGATTATTCCTCAAACTGTTTAATATTTAAGTGGCGAATGGTTGATATTTGAGTGTATTTTTGGTGCTTGTACGATATATACACTGTAAATGTAAACATGGATAAACCTTATAGTCTCTTCTTTACAGTAACATTTACAGCAAGTGTACACTGAATTCTTAAAGCCTGAAAATGGACTCTGACCTACTGAAGATAGAGGAGATGGTGATGGGAGGTGGAGAGGCTGCTGCTGCCCCTGCTGAACTGCCCCCTGAGAAGCCTGAGGACTCATATGTCACCTCCATTAGGGACCGCTTGCCACCTCCTGTTATTCAGTCATGTGAGTGTGAAATCATTGAATTTGTCCTCGGTCAGTTAATTGACAGACGTCCAGCTTTACAATGTATGCTTCTAATGAGCACCTGTTACATAAAACTGGTATTATGCCATTTTTCAAAATGTGATGGGGAATGATTCATTTTTATAATTAGTCTATAGGTCTTGGAAAGTAAGATTATAGAAAACAACAGTACTAAGATGAAATACAGATATTAAAGCCTGCATGAGGTCAATATGTACAATGCTTATTTTGCTAGCACACACTGTTAGTCTTAAAGTAATCAATTAATTCATGCAAGTCACTAAAAAAAGCAATTTCAATAATCTTTATTAAGGACGAACCATTTGGTTCCGCTCTGTAATAACGGATGTCAGTTTGACGGCTTGGGCGAGATATGCTCATTCCAACCATTAGTTTGCTGCGAGTAAAAGATAAAAGGAGGAATGCAAAAATAAAATCCCACCCATACACAAAATTCAGTTTCATTTGGAAATATTCAATATTTTCTTCCTGAAATTAAAGTCTGCAGCAACTTCCATTTCACAAAGACCTTTGTTTTGTGTTAGTTGATTCATAATGTTGTTATTTACACATAAATGCCTTTATTTTCTTATGCTCTCTAGTTGCTATTTGTTTAATTTGGTACAGAAGAAGAGATTCATCAGGGTAGCATAGATTTGAGTGAAGTTATACATAAAAAAAGCATATTAGCTGTTGCAAAAAAAGAATTACAAAACAGGAGTTTGTTTATTAATTATGTAAAGAAACAAAGTCTTAAAATCATTATTGTATTGGTCCCCCATAATAATATTATATTTGTCATTCCTTTTTCTCTCTGTATTTAGACCAGCATGAAAGCCTACAGTGTTTCCAGTGTTTCATAACTTTCTGTAACTCAAAAGCCAAGGAAAGGCACATGAAGAAGAGTCATCGGGAAGAGTACAAACAGCAACTTCAGCAGGTTTGTTGAAGTGATACTTTAATGGCATTAGAGCCTGTATCTCTGATTATTTTGTATTCATTTATCTGCAAAATCTTTAATTTCTAAAAACCCTTGTATTTTTTTTTGTGTATTGTATTGTGGTATAACATTAGTAACAAGTCACACTATTACACAGCAGAAATTGACCCAAAAGATCTAAAATAGACCCAATAAAAACACTCAATGTAGTCTTATGGCAGTGAGCCTGGATAAGACACTCAAACAACCTGTAGAATTGATATATATTTTTGTTAATTTTAAACACAAACGTTTCTTAGTACAGTTTCAATAAAGTAAGGACTTGCTTTGGGGCAGAATTAAAACTGAAAAGTTTGTTTACTGAATGGGAATCTTACTATGTTTGATCTCATGATCTTTGATTCATTGTTAAAAGTGATGTTTGATTTGCATAAATGCTGCCATATTTCTGTTATGACTAATGCAGCATTGTAATAAATATGATTAAAAAAAAATTTAAATTCCTAGTAAAAATGGAGAGTTGGCAAAAAAATAGCATTTATTTTTTGACTGGTTCATGAAATTATTTCGCTTTTAAAAGTGATTTCAATTGTCTGCGCTGATAGCTTTGTGGTTAGCACTATGGTGCTCACAGTGACCTGAGTTCGATTCCTGGTCCTACATCATTCCACACTTAGGGCCCTATCATACACCCGGCGCAGTGTGGCGCAAGGCGCGGCTCAATACTTGTTTGCTAGTTTCAGCTTGGCGCAAGAGTCATTTTGAGGCGTTGCGCCACGCTGTTTGAATAGCAAATGCATTAGCGCTCATATGTGCGCCCATAGGTGTTCTGGTCTAAAAAGGAAGGCGTTCTGAGGCGCACTGCTGGCGCGTTGCTATTTTGAGAAACTATAATAGATTTTTCATTAGACCAAAACAAACCCGGTCTAAACTCCAGCGCAGATTGCGCCTCGCTTACACACTGCTTAATAGCCTACACAAAGGATGTAGAGCAATACTCAAATACCTTTACATATGAAAAAAATTTAATATTAAGGATGAACCTATATATATAATATAATAAGAATAGATATAGGATATAAATATAAAGGATTAAAATATTACAAAACATATTATTTTCTAGCCTACATAAATATGAAAAATCACAGTTTTTTTGCCTTCATCTCGGGAGGCTTTTTCAGTTCATTCATAACAATTTTCTTTTGTATAATGTTATTATTATTAGCAGTATTATTTATTATATCCATATTTATATTTGTTTTATTAAAAAACAAGCTTAGATTTGCCCACCTGCAGGTTTTAGACCATATGGGGCACAGCATGTGTTTTAGGATGTAACTCAGGTTTTTGAACACACTTCGTTATTATTGTTCATTTATTTGTTTGCTGGAAATTAGAACTGAATTTAGAAATAGTTTCGAAACAAATATTTGCGCTTAACAAACAAAATTAATTATTTATAGGCTAATTGATGTCTGTGCGTAAAGGTTTCCTATCTACGGGAGCGAAAGGGAAAGTAGATCTCTCATTCTTGCGCAGTAGATGCTCTGTTTAACTGTTTTCTGTTAAAAAAAACTGTTAACTGTTTGCTTGTGAAATGCTTGGTTTTTCCACTTACTTTACGTCATTTAAATAGCAAATGCGCTATGGCACGACGCAGCTAGCTCTTAAAGGGAATGGGAGATGAGACTCTGAATGGTTTATTCTCAAAACACACCTATAACTCATTAAGAAAATAAACTCAACCCTTTTAGACCATGCGCCTCAGCGCAAAGCGGATTTTCCCATCCTTAAATTAGCAAAAATGCATTCTGACACGCCCTGAAAGCGTTTGCGCCCTGCGTTTTGCGCTTTGCGCATGGACCGTCAAAACAGAGCCCTTAATTTTACAGGTTGAATAAGTGCATCATCCGGGTAATTAAAGTGCACTTATGATTTTAGAGTTTCCAATGTGAACACACTACTTTAACTATTTATAATACAAAATTGCTTAGAATAGTGCATAAGTATGCAATTTGGTACGCACCTATACACTACAGCCCGTTTAGTTTATTCAATTCACCTATAGCGCTTGTCTTTAAACTTGTGTTGGAAACCAGAGCACCTGGAGAAAACCCACACCAACAATCGAACCAGAGACCTTATTGGTGTGAGGCGACAGTGCTAACCACTGAGCCGTCGTATTGCTACATTGTCTTATCAATCATTAAAATGAGAAAGTGATGTCTATTCACAACTTACTGTCTTTGTATCAACAGTGCGATACTCTCTTCACATGTTATGTGTGTGATCGAACCTTCCCCTCGTCTGAGGAACTGACACAACATCAGTCGACCCACAACAAGGAGGACAAGCCCTTTAAATGTGTTCACTGCCAAGAATGTTTTCGTACATTCTCAGAGGTGAGGCTTATTTTGAAAACATTTGAACCTTAAATGATTGGTTAGATGTAATACATATTTTAAAAAGTAATTCTGTCACAATTCATTTCAATTAAATGTAGCTTTTATTTTGATGGAAATTAATAAAGAGACACTTGTTGGAGATGTAGAAGTGTGCTTGAGCATATGTGTAGCAAACACAACTGCAGCATTATTTCACACATACATGCTTTAAATAAACTTTTTGCAGTACAGTACTGACTAGTGCAGATAATGGTTTGATTAGGAGTACAGCTCTACTTCTGATTCATTCATCCAAAATTGAGCATATTCTATTACATACAGCCATGATACTGTCTGCATTTTTCACATTGTTAAATTCTGGGGCCCTACAATACACATTTACTAAAAATGTCTCACAGACTATTGACTTGTCATCGAGGATGTGGGAAATGATGTAGAGTTGATTTACCCGTACCCATGTTTCTTAAGATTTTGCACAATTGTTAATGTAACCCTATGTTTAATTTTCCAAATGTGTGACTTTCTCTCCACAAGTTAACAACGCATCGACGACAGGTGTGTCCGGAGCGTCAGTTTGTGTGTAAAGAATGCAACGAGACATTTCGAAGCCCCGGACTTTTGCGTAGCCATCGTTTGATGCAGCACCCCGTGCCCCAGGATGAAGAGGATGTGGAGGATCCCTCCAAGACCTACCGCTGTGGTAAATGCGGACGAGGATTTGAGGAAGAGGCAGAGCTCCTTCAGCATCAGGAGAACCACGCAGGAGACCGGCATTGCAACGGTGGCGCTGCTGTCAAACGCAGAGGGAGGCCCCCCAAATATGAGGCCGCAGCTCCCAGTGAAAAGAAGGTAAAGAAAAAGAAGAAGGATGAAGACGCAGAGGAAACCAATCATTCAGAGGATGCTTCTGCAACATCGGCAAAAACAGGGGGAAGAAGAGGACGCCCTGCCAAATCCACCCAGGAACCCGAGGCGGAAGATGAGAAGGCAGAAAATGATGACAAGAAATCTGTCCCCGAGCCAGAACGGCAGATCCCTTGCACTGAATGTGATCTCACTTTCCCCACCCTGACGCTGCTGCGAATGCACAAGAAAGAGAAGCACACGCAGAAGAAGCCTCACCCCTGTAAAGAGTGTGAGGAGAGTTTTAACCGACCTGCGCAACTGCAGGCCCACATGGCCAGAGCACACAGCGTCGGACGGCACACCTGCCCCACATGCGGGAAAAGCTTTGGCAGAGAGAGCAACCTGAAGGCTCATCAGCAGAGCCACGAGAAAGAGGAGAAGCTGGCTGGAAAAAGATAATTCAGTTAGAGGGAGATTTTTTTTTTGCAGGTGTACGTTAACAAAACACATTTGATTTTTTTAATATGTTGTGTATAGAAATATAGGTTGGGGGAGGGTTTGCGTTAGGGCTGAGGTTGTAACATAGCAGGCAATCCCTCAATTGAGTGACGTTTGAGAGCAACACTATGTGGACGTTTGAAAACTGGAAACCCAAAGGGTTGTGAGTTCAAGATTAACTATTAGTAACCATGTTTGGTGCTTCACTGTATCTTGACATCTGTACATAGCTTTGGCATGGCAAGAAAAAAAGGATTCATACCACAGCTGAAGTCTCATTTGTTGGGTAATCATGTTGTAACTAATACCATCAAGAGAACCCCACAGAAAAAGCCTTGTTATATTGTCTAAAGGCTTTACATTGTTGTTTTCTTTTTCCTTTTTTTGTTGAAAATTTTAAAGTCTTTTCTATGAATGTGTTCTTGTTTTTACGTAATTTTTAGAAGTGTACAATGATGAGTGGAAAGATTTACAAAATGATTGTTTTCTGATGAGGTTTGACTTGATATGATTTCAAATGTTTCCATTTTCTACAGGTATGACATGACATTTGACTTGAATTTAATGTTACCAACAAATAAGGCAGTTCTTTGCGTGAAGTAAATGTCTAAATAATTCACTGAAAGTGTTTTAAATGTCTTCTGCTTTTTTTTTTACATTTATTATAAACATTTAAATGTCAAGGATTCAAAAGGGAGGAGTTGTACTTTGTTCTGAAACAATGAATGCTTTTCAATTTAGTGCTACAATCAAGTATAACTATCTCAAACTGAAGTGTAAATTTTTTCCAGTGCCAGCTATTATTTTGGGATAAGGTTTTGAATAGCTTCTAACCAAATTGAAGAATAATTTTACTCACTTTCCTTCTGCTTTGTCACTGATTTTTCAGTAGTTGCCACTGCGGAATTAACTGCCCATTACTCTGGCATGTTTTTATGCAGGAAATGCCACAACCCAGCTGCGAAATTACACTAGCTTATCAACCCACAGTGCTTGAAAACATTCTCTCATTCACACGCACACTCTATGACTATATTAGTTTTTTAACTTAATATTTTTAATAGGAAGTAATACAATATCATATTTGTGCATATACATTAGATATAGTCAGTACTGAAGCCAAATCTGGAGCTTATTCAACAAAATAACTTGCAATAACGATCCAAAAACTAGTACATCCAAATTTATATATCATAGAAAAATCTTAATACAAATTGTAAAAAAGGAAAAAAGTGTTCGAAAGGTTGTAGGTTGTAATTTTTTTTCAATATTTTGCTTGAATTTAATTGTATTATTTTTCAAATTCTTAATTTGTTTGGTGACTAAAATATTATTTTAATAAACATATACATTTAATAAATCTGTTTTGTTAAAATGTACCAATATACATTGCCTATATTCACTGAGAAATAATACAAATATTCCTATTCAAAAAAGGATGTACTCCGTTATGCTAAACACTGTATGTATGTATATATATATATATATATATGTGAGTGTGTGTGGGTGTATATACAGTTGAATTATTAGCCCCCCTCTTTGATTTATTTTTTCTTTTTTAATTATTTTCCAAATTATGTATAACAAAGCAAGGAAATTTTCACAGTATGTCTGATAATTTTTTTTTCCTGCAGAAAGCCTTATTTGTTTTATTTCGACTACAATAAAAGCAGTTTTTAATTTTTTAAAAAACATTTTAAGGTCAAAATTATTAGCCCCTTTAACCTATATTTTTTCGACTGTCTACAGAACAAAACATTGAACAATGATTTGCATCAACCTGCCTAATTAACCTAGTTAAGCCTTTAAATGTCACTTTAAGCTGTAAAGAAGTGTTTTGAAAAGTATCTAGTCAAATATTATTTACTGTCATCATGGAAAAAATAAAATAAATCAGTTATTAGAAATGAGTTATTAAAACTATTATCTTTAGAAATGTGTTGAAAAAAATCATTAAACATAAACTGAAGGAAAAAACGGGAGCTAATAATTCAGAAATCAACTGTGCATGTGTGTGTGTGTGTGGTGTGTATCAAGCAGATCTTTTAAGATAAAGTACATATAATTAAATTAAACTTTATATGTTAAATTGGTAAATCTGCACAGTTAAAAGAATAGTTGAAAACTAAATACTGAAAATGACAAATAAGAGACTTAATGTATAGTAAAATGATACTTGTTTTAAAATATGTCATAGGTCTATTTTTACACTTTATTATATTTATGCTATTTGATGTGTTGTCTTGTGTTAATCTAGTAAAACTGTTTGATTGAGTAACTGCTTTTTAAAACAATTCCCCATCACCCCAAATCCCTAACAAAGCCACTGATGTGCCCTCAGTCTTTTATCAAGGAGCATTTCTATTACTGAAGTATGAACAGTTTTGAGCCAGAAAAGCTTTGTGTGATTTTTAAATGCTTATATGTTTAATATATCGAAAGGTTTTTTTTTTTTTTTTTTTTTTTTTTTTTTTGCTTTATCTTTACGCAAAACACCAAATTATTTTCCAACTGATTGGGTTACTGTACTGACCGTACTAACGCTCCTCTCCTACAGATGGCAACCTTTGCATTTTGGCCAGGCGTTTCATACCGGAAGAATCGACTGGACAGCAGCTCACCTTCTGCATGCAACCTGATTTGTGCTTTATTACTTTGTGTCGTTATAAAATAGTTTTTGCCGTTGACGGTAATTTCAGTTACGCTTTGAGCAGTTGGTGATATTTTCAAAGCCGATCATGGCAGTTAAGGAATGACTATAAGTTAGCAGGCAGTATCAAAGGTCCATTGTTGCATTGCTGAACAGCAGTGTTTGCAAATGCTCGTCGAAGACAACTAGGTAATTATCTGAATGAAGAAAGCGTTATACTGTATTCACTGTACGGACTTACTTTGTCTTTAAGCCATGCCTGTTAGATTTTAGACACTGTTTAAATTATATCCAGTACCTAATTTCCTGGAATTCCTAATTACAGCCAGAATCAGGAAATAATTCATATTTATTTGACTTCATTGACGCATTCATGTAAGGTAATATATTTATTTCTCTTGAGTTAAACTGTTTACATCTCTTATTTTAGTTTAAATAAAGTTAACCATTTTATGTTCTCATCTTAAGTGGATGAGGTAAGTTCTAGTAAAATTTCAGATTTTGTTTGCATAATGACATATAAGTTGCCTGATTATACACAAACATATTCCCGTAATAATATTCAGTTTATAAATATGAATAAAGCATTAAATTTAGGTGTACGTTCTGCTGTAGTGGATATTTAAGACTCAAACTTATTATACTGTCCATGTAGTGTAACTGAAATCCACACTACCTGACAAAAGTCTTGTCGTTGATCAACGAAAGTGGAAGAAGGTAGATTTTTCAGATGAATCATCTGTTGAACTTCATCCCGATCAACATAAAAAGCTGCAGAAAACCTTTTGGAAACAGAATGGACCCAGGATTCTCACAGAAATCAGTCAAGTTTGATTAAGGAAAAATCATGGTTTGGGGGTTACATTCAGTATGAGGGCATGTGAGAGATCTGCAGAGTGGATGATAACATCAACAGCCTTAGCTATCAAGACAATTGCGCTGCCCATTGCATTGCGAACAACAGGAGAATGCAATTTCTTCAGCAGGATAGTGCTCCTTATACTTACAGCCTTCTCGTCAAAGTACCTGAAAGCAAAGGAGGTCAAGGTGCTCCAGGATTGGCCAGCTTAGTCACCAGACATTATTGAGCATGTATGGGGGTAAGATGAAGAAGGAGGCATTGAAGATGAATTCAAAGAATCTTGATGAACTCTGGGAGTCCTGCAAGAACACTTTCTTTGCCATTCCAGATGACTTTGTTAAGTTATTTGAGTCAATTCAGAGATGTATGGATGCAGTCCTCCAAGTTAATGGGAGTCATACACAATATTGATTATTTTTTCACCGCAGCATGACTTTATATTCTATACTGGACATTATTTCTGTTATATATATATATATATATATATATATATATATATATATATATATATATATTTATTTTTTTTTTTTTGTAAAATTAGCATAATCCAGAGGCCTTTCATAAAAGCCACTTCTGATACCACATGATCAACTAGACGCCAATTATTTGTTTCTAAAATTTAGATAGGCGACAAGAGTTTTGTCAGGTAGTGTACCGGCACACATTGATAAAATGCTAGATTTGTTTGTGATTAACTCCATTCCAAATAAAATGCTATGAAAGAAACACCTAAAGCGTATATTCAATACTTTTATCCTCTTAGACTAAAAAACCTCAGAAAAGCCCAAAATAAAGAGTTGCATGAAAAAACAGCGTCTCATCTTGATAGATAAACAGCAACATTTAGACCATATTATATATTTATATTTATAATAATATTTATAACAATATTATGTATTGGTTTTTTTTCCCTCAGGGCACCATGTCAGAGTTTACCCTCGATATCCAGCTGACAGAGTTGGGTTTTTCAAACTGGAATTTTCCCCTCTGTGAGCCACCAAGTGTTAAGGAGACATTTTTGCCAGCTCAGAGCACCACAGAAAAACCAACAACTGCAGACTGTCATGAAGATCCCTGCTTCGTTCCAAATGCCTTGACAGAAAAAAGCTTTCTACAGGACCATCAATATTTCTGTCCCTTCAAACCAAACTCTCCCATCAGCGTAGAAACAGCTCAGAGTGATTCAAATATCGTTAGCACCGAAAAGAAGAACAAAGCTATTTGCAACTCATGGAATAAAGCAAGAAAAAGAGAGCGTGCAGGTCGAAGAAACAGTGATGACTCTCAAGATGGAGAAGAGGAAATGGAAAAAGATGAAGAGGAGCAGACATGTGCAGAGGGGACGCTAGAAACCTCCAGTCCTACCATGGAGGAAGTTGTGTCTGGTGAGGAAGGGACAGATGAAAATGAAGTGGAATATGTTTTGACTGATGATGATGGGGATTATGTTGATGAAGATGAAGAGGTGGAAGATGATATTGAGGAGGAGGAGGAGGAGAAGGAGGAACAAGATGAGGATGTTTCCTGGTCAGGTACTGTATAATTGTAAATTCTTTTCTAAATAGAAATGTGGTTTGATTTGATTTAATATTGTTGTATGTTGTAGATTTTGTCCAGCTAAACAATAAGTATTTTTTTCTGGCACGGATAATTTTCAGATTGCACCAATTATTGTTTTTTATACTTGTACTAATGTTTGTGTGTCTGTGTACTTGTTTAGATATACTTATGAGGGCCAGAGATAATTACTTTAGTTGAAAGTCTGAAAAACTTGAAATTCATGCAGACTTTTAGTATCCACTTTTAAAAGAAATGGAATATTGAGTAGGGGGCAGGGTTTTCTTTTGGGGCATCATTCCCTCATAGCAAACTAGCGGTAAGACAGGGCATTAATATACAGTTGCTATGGTAGCTCTCAGGTTGATGTCAACAGAAGGACTGTGGCTGCAAAAGAGGAAGTAAATAGTTAGACTTTTATAGAAGATTACAATTTGTTATCAGTTGATTTGGCTGTCAATGTTATCAGTCATTTACAGAATAAAGCAAATTGTGGCACTTAAGTTAAACCACACCAAATGGCATACCAATTTACTAGAAATCCAGTAAATTGAAGAAACTTGAGTATTTTCATGTCTTTAATATTTTTGAATAGCTGGTCAGACTTTCATTGAAGATTACCATACAAACCATTCATGTTTTTAATGAATTAATTTGCATTAATTAATTATTCACCTCAGGAATAACAATGTGTGAGCTAGCAAAGTGCAAATTGTTCATTTGGATTTAATGTGGACTTCAAATATCATGGCATCTGTAGTTTATTTACATTTTAATTAACTGCAAATAGCTTTTTCTTTTGCCTTTTACATATATTTTTATATTTTTTTATTTGCAAAGGTTGAAATTATTTCTCTCACTTACCCTAGTTACATAATGTCACTACACTTTGTAAATAAATGTATGCACAGGCACAGATTAAAACACAAGGTAAATGAGAATGTGTCTCTCATGTACTTGTGATCTGACTAGTTGTAATCAGTGCCAAATTTAGCACTTTATTTCATTAATTCATTTTCCTTTGGTTTAAGGCTGATTTATACTTCTGCGGAGTGACCCACAGGACCTGCCTTACGCATAGTCATGCATTTACATTTCTTCGTGCTGTTTGTGGTGCTGTGCGATAACACCTCCAAAACACTGGCTGGCAGTTGGATTTTACAACTTTAATCATAGGGTTAACGCAAAACAACAGTTTCCATCTAGAGCTACTTCATGGCACACTCGACACTAAACACTTGCTCCAACAGGTCGCATGGCTCTCGGTCTTACCCACACTGGTCGCAGCTACCAAGCCGACCAATCACAGAGCCATGGCAAGGGCTATGCGACCGCATGAAGGCTGCACTGGAGCATACGTATACACACACACGTGCACTTGATGCAAAAGTATAAATCCGCCTTTAGTCCTTCATTTGTCAGGGGTTACCACAGTGGAATGAACCACCAACTACTCTGGCATATATTTTACACAGTGGATGCTCTTTCAGCAGCAATCCAGTACTGGGAAAGCTGATGATTGGTAATAAACTTGTTTGGCATGCTGTCCCAGGCGAGAGCCCTGAGCTTATAAGATCCTTATAAGAAAATTGGAATCATACTCAAGCTCTTAGCAAGCCGTATATCTCTCCTGAGCCATACGGCTTGCTAAGAGCTTGAGTATGATTCCAATTTGGTATGTTCAGTTTACTTACGTTTTTTGGACTGTGGGAGGAAACCAGAGAACCCAGGGAAAATCTACACGAGCAACCTCTGCACAGAAATGTTAACTGGTTTAGTAGGGACTTAAAGCAGAGACATTCTTGCTGTGAGGCAACAGTGCTAATCATGCAAATGTTGCCCATCTGCAAACGAGGGGGAGTAGGGGATTCTTCAAGATGAAGATACTGAGGTAAGAAACTCTGGTTATTTCTGGTGAGTTAGAAATCATCTGATGGGTGAATCAATTGTAGACTAATGCAGGACCAGACTCGGTCAATCATAAGCACGTGATCCTCTCGAAATTAGTTTGTAAATAAACTTCACAGTTTGTGTCTGTTTGTGTTCATCTGTTTATCTGTTCTCTTTAATTTCAGAGTCGAACGAAAATGGAGAAAACAAAGACAATCTCTGCCATGTGTGTGATCTCACCTTCTCCTCTCTCTTCTTGCTCCGAGAACATTTGAACATGCATACGGGTGTTCGGCCCTACCGCTGCGACGAATGCAGCAAGCAGTTCTGCCAGTTAGTCAATTACCGCACACACCTTCGCTCCCACTCGCAAAAGGCCTCCATCCACTGCCGCGTTTGCTCAAATACCTTCGAGACCGAGGAGCAGCTTCAACACCACTTGGACACTAACCACTTTGAGAAAGAGTTCTACCAGTGTGATTTTTGCAAGCAGATTTTCACTGACCTTGAATTGTGCAAGGATCATGTAGAGGCGCATAGGCAACAGGCCAAGCGGCATTTGTGTCTCAAATGTGGCTCCAGTTTTCGCCATCGCAACTCTCTCCTACTTCACCTTGAGTGGCACAGCAGAGGCTTTTTCTCCTGCCCGGACTGTGAGCGAACGTTCTCCAGCAAGACTTCTTTATTACGCCACAGTTTCTCTCATTTGGGCGTCTTGCCGTACACGTGCCTGAAGTGCAAACGTCATTTCCGTTTGCCCTCGCTCTACCACAGCCATGAGTGTAAGCCCGAGAGCATCCAGTGTATGGCGTGTTTGGTTTTCTTTCAGAGTCAGGAGGATTTTGACAAGCATAAGAAGGAAACTGGATGCTGGGGTCATCAAGGGTCTTTGCAGACCAAGACTGATGAAATCCGTTGCATGGAGTGTGGAAAAGTGTTTGCGAGCGTCGAGGAGCTGAAGAAGCACGGGAGCACACACCAGCGGGTCCTGAAATGTGCCGAATGCGGGATGGGTTTCCGTTCTGCGCTCATGCTTATGTCACATATGGGAGGTCATGCGGCACAGCGGCCGTGCCTCTGCCAGGACTGTGGCCTGGGCTTTCCCCATCAGCAGGGTTTTGACAGCCACCTGAAAACTTGTGGATTGGAGGCACCACCGGTGGTAAGATTCTTTTTTTTTTTTTTGTTTCATTCATTGAATTGTTCTTTAGCTTCGTTCACATGAAGGATAATGGTGGAAATGTGCCCAATAAAGAGGGGTTTAAAATCAAAAGAATGGGGCAGTCCTCAATAATGGCACAAAGGAACAAAATCTGTTTTGGAACATTTTTTTATCCAATGAGTGGTTAAAAAAAATAGACAGCCAATTAGTGTCAATGAGAGAACTTTTAAAGTGACAAATGACATAAGTGCAGCACACTTAGAATACATTGACTGATATCAAGCATTATTATGAACACCTCACTTAAATAGTTCTTTATTACACTTGTACATGGTACAGTTCTTGGTAAAAATATCTTTTATAGTTATTGTTCTTTTTGTATAAATAGAAGTAGCAAACACTGACATTTTATTTTTACGCTTCATCATTCTAGTATTTTTTTTATAGGAAATTGGGAAATGTTATTATTCCTTTACAGAATAAAACAAATTGCAACATTTTACTCAAAACATAGCAAATGGCTTACCATATTAATTTACTCGAAATCCAGTAGAAATTGAATAAACTGACAATTTTCACATTCTTATTATCTTTATGTAGCTTTACAGTATATATACAATTGCATTAATGCATAAATATATCACATAAACCCATATATTCTCTGAAAACCTCCTTTGTAATTATTTTATTGTGATATATTTCTTTATAATACTTTTGAAACTTTGTTTTGGTTTATACATTTAGCTGTACTTAAAGTGGAAGTGAAGCAGTCAGTCAAGTTTATGTTATTTTGTAAATTGGTTTCCACTTTAATGAAGATATATGTAACTCAATTAATGCAACCAATTAGAAAAAAAGGCATGTTTTACTATAGCTTTTAGTGAAAGGGTGCCGCAATCTTGGAACGTTGCTGTGTCTGACATCACAAGGTTGGTTCTGTTCCCTCAGCTGAACAGATACAGTGGAAATAATGGTTTGAACACAGAGACTGCAAAGCCTAATTTAACCCAATGCGTGAAGTTGTGGGAATGGAGCTGGTGCAAATACAAGCATCAAAGTAGTGTCTAATAAATATATTCTCTCTTATAGAGGGGGGGATTTACATTCAGACTAATGCAACGATTAAAATGATATAGGATTTTATGCTTTACTAAGTCATATTTGTGTGCATTGTCAAAACATATTCTTTTATCAAGTCGATCAACTTGATCCCTCAACATGTATGAAAGACGTAAAAACCCACCATGTGAATAAAACATGCGGATCTTAGTGTGGTTTTAACAGAAAAAAAGGTGAGCAGCTGTAGTAGTAAAAAAAGTGAAAATATTTGCACCCATTACGTCAGTACCGGACCTTGTTGAAACTATGGTTGAAACTCAAGACAGGCAGTCAGGAAATGATTGGTAATTAAATTGTATAGAAGACAAACAGAATAAATAATTTTTGTATATATTAAACTAGAGCCGGATGAGATTGGGGAAAAATTATCACTTCATGTTTCATATAATTCGATATCGATAATTATTGAATATTTTTTTAACTACACATTTAGGAATATAAGGACTTTTTAAACCACTTTATTTTAATTTACCAGCATTGCTAAGGCAAATTGTTTTAATAGTGTAAAGCAATAATGTATGCAATGGTAAATGTAGATTAAAATCTGGTGTGAAGAAAAATAATACAGTAAACCTCAAACTCTGTAAAGAAAACAAATGTTGATAATCAAATCTGAGCTTTCATGTAAAGGAACCAACCATCATTATTGAAATGCATATTGCAACATTACAAATTGTGTATAACTACATTACCCCCTAGGCTAAAAACTCAATGAGAAGCTAGTGACTGGGATGCACAAGAAAAGAAACCAAAAAGCCACTGTGGTGACGTCCTTACATCCCTTTTTTATTTATTTACAATCTCCTCACTGCTGCTATACACTAGTCATTTTCACACGCATTGTTATTCTAAACCTGAAGGGACAATCGCGAATGCGTGGTTTTCTTCACTATTTTCTTTTTTTTTTTGTGCCCTTTGTACAAGTCGCGCACCTCCATTGGAAATCACGAACTTGCACCCTAAGCTCATTGGGACTGCTACTAAGGCGCACACTTAGCTGCCACATTTTAATAAAACTATAGCCTTCATCCCCAAACTTAACACCAAACTTTTTTTGTTTTGTTTTTGACAATGGTGTTTGCCCAGCCCCATATTAAACACACATCCGATGCTTGTATTTGCACCAGCTCCATGCCCACAACTTCACGCATTGGGTTAAATTAGGCTTTGGAGTCTCCATGCTCAGTCCATTACTTCCACTATCTCTGTTCAGCTGAGGGAACGAAACAAACTCATCAGACAAATTGATTTTCCAAGATGGCAGCTCCCTAGCTCTAAAGGCTATAGTAAAACATGGCATTTTCTTTAAAATGGTTACATCAGTAGAGTTTGTTATATATATATATATATATATATATATATATATATATATATATATATATATAAAACAAACTCTACTGTATGATATATATATATATTTTATTTTTTTTTATTTTAGTGGAAACCAGTTTACAAACTAATTTAAACTTTACTTAGTGCTTTACTTCTACTTTAACAGTGTGCTTTCTAGCATGAAAAAAGATGCCAACTGTACATTTGACACTTTCCCAAATTACAGTTTAAAACTGATTATATACATGTTTAATCTCAAAACAAAAGTCTTTTTTCGAAAGAACTTCAAGGTATGTAAATGTGTTGGGAATAAAATAAATATTCTATTATTGTAATCTTGTATTTTTGTTTACAGGTTACTGTGAAGAAGCCAAAACTGAAAGCAAGCCCCACAACAAAACCAGTTGCTCAAAGCATAATCTTTCAAACTATCGCTCAGCCCTCAAATCCTGCAATGTTCTCTAGTGGCTTGAAGAATGTGCAGATACTTCCAGTAGGTGATCAGAACAGGACTGCTGATGGCAAATGGAGTCTGACCTTAAATGAAAAGCCTTCTCCAGGAACGCCTTTAGTGATGCTTCTGCCGGTCCCCACCTCAGATTCTACCAAGAGCTCACAAACATTCCTACCTTCATCATTAATCTTAGAAACCCCTTCAACCACTTCAAATATCATTCCCCTTCCGATGGCCCCATTCAGCAGCGTCATTACTAAAGAAGAGCCCAACATTCCTTCAAACACACTCATTCCTGTGGAAAGCCTCGACAGTACCTCAAAGAAGAGATGGACCATTGTTGAAGGTCAAGGTTCTGTTCATGGTTTTGATATGGAAAACTCAAAGGCAGGTGAACAGACTACAGTTGTGATTCAGGATGAAAGAATGATTGTTGCTACACAAGTAATGGAGAATGAGCAAAAAATTCAATCAAACATGAAATCTAATGTATCAAGGGATGAAAAAACAAATCCAGGAGGTTTGTCAGATGCTGCTGAACCTGCAAACGCAGTGACCCCATTGTGTCAAGGGCAAACACTGGATTCTTTACAAACAGACTCTCTCGTTTCTGCTTCGTCAGAAATGACTCCTCACAAAAGTAAAGACGAGCAGTGTTTAGAAGAAGACAAGTCATCTAACAGGACATGCACAGAGACAGAATTTACCTTGATGGAGGACAAGGCAGAAGATGGTCCACAGGGTCAAAACGAGTCTGGCTTTGACGTGGAGGTGGAGATTCGGGAAGATGTGGATTCCAGTAATACGGAAGTGGAGATCGGCGATGAAGACAGCGGAGTGGACATGTTGGACGGTGAGCTTCATGAATGTGTGACTTGTGGACAAGTTCTTCCAGAGAAGGACATGGTCCAGCACTACATGAAGCATGCTGCGGTCAATGACGGTCCTGAGCCCTCGCCTGTTAACAGTAGCACACACACTACACAACGCAGCCCTCCACACAGCCCGCTTAGAAAAAGACTGCGGTCTGGCACAGTGCTGTGACGTTAGTTCACAAATGTTTAGATGATTTTTTTTATTATTATATTAAATTGATTTGACTTGATAAATATTACACCATCTTTACATGATTTATTTTCTTTGGGAAACGGGTGTCACAATTATTTTTCCCGGATGGTGAAAAGTTTGGTGAATGTTAAAACCAAGTCTCTTTTGAATGTATTCTGGTTTGCTTTCACAGTATTTCATTGCATTTCCACTATGATGTGCAGGATACAATAAATCTAGATTAGGAAGTGGGTAAATTTGCTTTCTTTTGTTAAGTTTTTTAAAAACATGATTCATTACATGGTGATTTTGATCAGGGGTTTGCAAACTTTTTAGCCCACAACCCTTGAAATAACAATGCCAGTGACTCGCGACCCTCATTTTTCTGGAAGGTGGTTATAAATATACAAACGTTGCACACACAACACTAGGCCTATATAAACATGAGCAAATTGACAAAACAAAAATGCAACAGTCTAATAACCATATCATTTAATAGTCACTTATTTTTACTTATTTACTATTAACCTCAAATATCGTATTTTTATGTATTAGAGTGCCATACGGGTTGAAAGAAAGTTTAACCTGGCCCCATAACATCAATCTGCTGCAGCTGACACTATTGCTGTGTGATTAATCTGAGCACCCCGGGGGTCGCAAAAAATAAAATCTGATCTATTTTTATTTGTATGTTGTTGTTGTTTCTTTGTGTAACTATTAACAATGGGTTATAAATAAAATATGGTGATTCTAAGAGTTTAACAAAATTGATTTGAGTTTTGGAAATCACCAAGCGACCCCCTCATCATTGTCCCACAACCCCCCAGGGCTTCCTGACCCCCACTATTTTTAACCACAGATTTAGGTGATCAGAAGTGTTAGATCAGCCGATTAATTACTGCACACATTGATTAATGGTATTACTGCACATATTAAAGTGATAGATGACGCAGAAATAAATATATATGTTGTCATTTTTCTCACCTTCACACCATCCAAGGTTTACTTCAGTAGAAGGTTAAAGAAGCTTTTGGGTGTTTTTTATTAATGGTCTTTTTATTATGCAGATATTGTCGTATACACATTTTACAAGCCACGTTGTTGGTGGGGCTATAATAATACTTAAATTCATAGCAGAAAAAGAAAAAGGAAGTCAGTGTGCACTGGTTTCCAACATTCCTCAAAATATTTTGTGTGCAACAGAAGAAACTCAAACATGTTTAGAACAAATAGAGGGTGAGCAAAGATGACAATGTCAACTCATGGGTAGACTCGCACGGAATCTGTGTGCGCAGAAATCCGCAGATTTTCAGCCCATCTTTGAGTGTTTATTTAGTTGTGTGTAAATTTGTATTTATACAGTTTTTAAATTCATTTCAGTAATATTATTGACATATAAAAACATTCACATGATTTTTATACAATACCGTTTGTAAAGTAGTAGTTTCTGCTTTTTACTAGAGATATAATATATGAGAGACTTGCTTTGTTTTCTAAATAAATGGATCTAATTGGATTTGCATGGTAAGCATTAAATAAAAGTTAAGAATGTATATAAATTTTATTTAATATTAAGTTTTCAATTACGCTACACCTAAAGTCATTCCGCATAAATTTGCAGGTTTTTTACAATATTATGCGCATAAGTGCCAAAAATTGTCTGCAAATTCTGTCTGGCTCTACTCATGAGTAAGCGAACACATTAATGCATTTCTGCATTTCAAAGATGATAATTCTAAATTGAATTGTAGAGTTCCGATACAAAAACCTTTAAGTGCCATCCGAGATTTTAATGTAAAATAAGCATTTTTCTCTGCCTTCTATGTTTGAGTTATTTCACTTTAAAGATCATTAAAAAAAAAGCTTTTTTTGACATAAAACTAGAAATGTCTGTAACTGCACACAGGAGCCTTAAAATGCTCATTTTAGAAGAACATTTCAGACAGCTTTTAGAGGTTTTAGCATATGTACTTTAATTGTGCCAGCATTTGCTAATAGTCAGGTCCGTTTTTCCTTTTCTCGTTTCATCTTTCAGTACAAAAAAAAGCAGAAGCTTTAAGCTGAGTTAAAATATTTGTTCTGGAATGACTAATGTTGTGTAACTTTTTTTTTTTTTTGGAACATTTATTGTATAACAGAATGATTCATTTGGTACACATCATTCAAAATAATAATCATTAGATTTTTTGCCAATAAAGAATGAAAAAAATGCCAATAAAGAATGAAATAAAGAATATTTATGCCAATAAAGAATGAAAAAAACATTAACAATCGGGAAAAAACAACAGAAATCAAACAGAAATTAAAGAGATATCAATAGGTCATCTGATCTGAGGATAGATATATAATACAGAAGAAATTGAGAGTGGAGAGGGCAAAATAATATGATAATAGCAATTCAGAGATTTAGTACATTTAATAATATTACAGGTCATGCAAATTGAACGTTTTGAGTGCTTGTTAATTTAATCTGAAATTGTAAGTAGTTTTTAATCTCTTGTGTAAATTCTATAAATACTGACTTGCAATTTGAAAATGTACCTTTATGAATAAAATGAAGGTTTATTATAAAGCACATGTTAAAATTTGTATAAAAAAAACTAAAATAATTCTTCTTGGACTAACAGAAACGTTCTGTGAAAAAGTGTAACTTTATGCTATAATATTTGTGGGGCCGTCATCATTTTGTTTATTTATAAGCTCAATGTCATTTGATTTTACACTTTTAGGGGGTTACTACTGCAGACGATGCTCAAAGGGAAATAATTTAATAAAGTAATATAAAAAGTCGTTTGCTGTAACTGAGAATAAAGTGTTTGATAATGCTACACGCATGCCTTATTAGTAGGCTATTATTTAGGAGGTTTAACCTTTTGTGACTCATAATGGAAAGGGAAAAACCTTTAAAGCCAAGTGGGCGGAAGTCTGTTGACACAGCTATTAAGATGTCAACCGTTTAAATGAATCGCAGCACATCACTTGGGTGGTAAGAAAGACTCTTTTTCTTGATATTGAAGAGTTTAAATAACCTTCATGCCTTCATTTTGTGAATCAAACACGTCTCTAGTGCGATTTAGTTCGTTGTTAGTGATTAGCGTTCTTACGGTGGTCGTGTTACTTGGCCATTAAATCAGACAAGTTAATAGAAAAAAGACTGCTGCTTATGTTACTGTTATGCGCAGGCGAACGCTTGTGATAGTTTATGTCTGGTAATGATATGTTGTATGAATGCAGGTGGTGAAGCGTCTCTGCATCTATGTAGTTATGTTGTTCAGTCATGTCAGTGTTTTGTTTTGTAATATGACTTAAAGCACACTCATTTTAGTCACGTAAGTAAAACGTGTTTAATTTAAATAGTACATGTATTACATGCGCCGTTCGCTGATGTTTTCCCTTTTTTCCCTTTTTTGTGATATTTTGCACCTTTTCTCTTATCGTGAGCAAGATCGCGGAAAAAAGTGCTAAACAGGAAATGACAAAGAAAGGGCTTCTAGTGTTTCTCCTCTCTCTGATTGGTACGTGATGGTTGTTTTTACCACCTTTCCTCTGTTCTTCTTGTCTGAGACCACCATGCAGTGCAGTGTGCATATATCCTGTTAGATGTATTAGACAGAGGTGTGACTTTCCACACATATTTGTGTAGGGGGTTATCTGCATTAATTACAGTTCTGAGTGTGCTGTTTGGGGCCAAATGATGCACACTATTGATCTCTCTCTCTCTCTCTCTCTCTCTTTAGAAAACATAGTAAACAGTAAATATAAATAAAGAAATAAATAAAAATTAAATAAAAAAGAATTATAAATAAAGTCTTTTTTTTCATCCATTCTGGGGGCCCCATCAATAGTCCATGCAGGTGTCCACACATTTTGCACTATGCCACTATATACAGTTGAAGTCAGAAGTAGTCTATTAGCCACCCTGAATTATCAGCCCTTCATTAATTTTTCCCCAATTTCTGTTTAACAGAGATATTTTTTTCAACACATTTCTAAACATAATAGTTTTAATAACTAATTTCTAATATCTTAATTTATTTTATCTCTGCTATGATGACAGTAAATCTAATATTTGACTAGATGTTTTTCAAGACACTTCTATACTACTTAAAGTGACATTTAAAGGCTTAACTAGGTTAATTAGGTTAACCAGGCAGGTTAGGATAATTAGACAGGTTATTTTATAATGATGGTTTGTTCTGTAGACTATCGAAAAAATATACCCTAAACGGGCTAATGATTTTGACCTTAAAATGGTTTTTAAAAAATTAAAATCCGCTTTTATTCTAGAAACAAATAAGACTTTCTGCAGAAAAATAATGATCAGACATATTGTGAAAATTTCCTTGCTCTGTTAAACATCATTTGGGAAAAAAAAACTATTATTCTGACTTTAACTATATATATTATATATATATATATATATATATATATATATATATATATATATATATATATATATATATATATATATATATATATATATAGGCACATTCAAAAAGTACCACATTCAAAAAATACCACATCTTTGAAAATCTGTATTTAACCAAAGGTGATGGAACTTTGGGTAATTAATCAATGTGAAAAAAAAAAAAAAACAAGTTCATAGATGTTCAATATAACCCCCTCCTGACACTTGAGTGACATCAACCTGATACTCAAACTTGTACCACATTTTTTGTAGCATTTTGGGCCTAAAAGTTTGCATAGCTGTAGTTATTCCTTCTTTTGTTTTGTTTTTCCCTTTTTGTAATCTGATAATGTGACTGATACACAAAAAATTATGTCTGCAAAATAGTTGCAAACAAGTTGTTTGTGTTGAATTTAAACAAATTAAATTGAGTAATGTTCAACTTCATTTGTTTGTTTAAATTCAGCCCAGATCAATTGTTTACAACTGCTTTATAATTGTATTACGATTTTTAAAAATTGTATTAAAGTTTGTTGAAGTAATTTCTCTCTCTTTTTTTTCAAGTCATGGTCAGAGCTGATGGAGGTAAGCATTTATGTTTGGTATTGATTCAGTCAGCAACTTTAAGTTTAGCAACTGCATGTTTATGACATACGGTTCATAATATTTGTCATATCAATTTCTAATGCCGAAGATACACTGGGCAATTTTGCAAAGCGATGTTGCTTGACTGCTTTTCTATTAAGAACTGGCAACAATATTGTGTATGTCACGCTTTGCCCCAATTAGTTACCTCGTGTCTGACCCAATTGCCCATTTATGGCATCATTTCCCAAATCTGCCCAGCAACATTAAACAAAAAGTTTCGCAGTATATCATCAGCATTAAATATTTAACTGTTGATCTGTTGAAAGTAAAATTAATTCAATAAAACTAGTTCATTTCACTCACATATTTGAAAAGTTCATTGTACTCAATAGTAACATGTTATGTGAACCCAAAATGTTACAATATTTACATGCACCTTTACTGAGTAGATGCAGAGTTTTGGTTCCCACACTCTTTGCGTTTGACTGTATGTTGAAATTAATCAGTGATTTTATGCTAGTTTAGGATTTTCAGAGGTTTCTGTTATGTTAAAAATTACCATTGCAGAGCCTTTGGTTTGATTGAGGATGAGTTGAAAAACATGAAGACTATTTGCATGAACTCTTCATGGTCTCTTTTACAGTTACATTAAGTGTTAATCCTAAGGGTTGGAGTTTATGCAACATTTATCTAAGCAAAATGCACAAATAAGTTTATGATATATTTGAATTCAATTATGATCAACATTGAAATGTTAATGAAAGAAGACTGTAAACCAGCACACATCACAAAATGTCTTTGTTGTGCAAAACAAAATAAAGTTCTGTTAATTTGGCCAAATTAAAAATGTTTTGAGACGTTATGTCCTACAAAATGTTTTATGTCGTTGGAAATGATCTGATTTTACAGCACAGACAGGGTTGTGTACTTTTGCATCAGTTGTGTGAATGCTGTGTGTACTTCACATGCCTCAAACCCTTAATATTTCCACAGACAAGTACTCATGTTTTGGAGTGAGCTCAGGGACAGTAGCAGGTATTATTTTCGCTGATGTTGCAGTAACGGTCCTCATTGTTACCACCACCTACTGGTACGCTAGCAAGCGCAGACAGAAGAAGGAAAACGGTAAGAAACTGCTGATACAAACATGAATTTTTCTTTAGCATTTCTGAAACAGACGTGCTTTTAACATGTTTGTGTATTTCTTTAGCTGATGAAGTCTACATGAATGTTAGAGCAAACTGCAAAACATGAAGATCTTTGGCAGACTGACGTCAACAATGGAAAACTAAGTGACTGACAGTGGATATTATAAAACATAATGATTTAACACCGTTTCAATACACAACTTTTATCATAGTGGCCTTGTGAATTAGACAAAGTTTTCTAATTTACTCTACTGTAATTGTCTGACACTTATTTAAAACAATTTGGAAACATTAAGATTTTTTTTTAAGAGTTTATTTTATTCAAGGTAAATTTGATCAAAACACAGTAAAACATTAGTATTACAACATATTATTTAAAAAAAAAAAATCTTGTTTTCTTATTTGCACAAATATATGAAGCTGAACTGAACATTAATGACAAGAACCTGATGAAAGATCGAACTCCCGTGATAACTGATCATAACAGAACAGAAACTGTAAGATGAATTTCTGAAGCATCACGTGACACTGACATTTAGCACTTAAGGTATTTTAGATAATGTTTGACAATATTGCTGTTGTCCACAAAAAAAAGATACAAACCTTAACGTTTACAGACATTTGACTCGCACTGTAAATCACTCAATAGACATTTCAATTGATTCATTTATTTTTTTAATGAAAGTAAAGAATATAGCACATAATTAACAGCAAGATCAACACCAGTACAGAAAAACACTGCCACCTAGTGGATAGGTTTCAGGATTTTCTTTCTTTTTTTAAATGATACCTTTATACTGTAAATGTATGCCTCTCTCTTTGTTCATGCATTATTCATTATGTTTTTACAGACATAAAAAACAGCTGTTTTTTGCATTATGATTATTAGCAGGGGTGGACTTAGTGATTCGGGAGCCCTAAGCAATTCCGGATATAAGCAATTTTGGGTATGGGGCCCTAGCATTGGAGCTCAATTCTTTCTTTATAGACCATTTCAATATGGTGATGTCATTGACACATAAACGTTTACTGCTTGTTATTAAACTATTTCACAACTGTAACAAGAGGCAATTCAATCATAACTTCATGTTAAAACAGCTATCATAACATTATTTATCAATATGTGGCTCTTTTTGGATTCTCAGACGCTATAGAAATTAAAAATGTAAAACAGGAAATATGTTGGGACCATTGTTTTTGTTTACATCCCTCAAAATAGTCTGTAGATTTTTTTTTTTCTCTAAATTCTTCAGTTTTTTAATAAATAAATGGCATATTAAAAATATATAGTTTAAGTGGAACCTTTATCTTCTTAATGTAAAATTTAAAGAATATATTCACAAATAAAAATAGCCACATTTGTAGTTTAATTTTAATATTTGCATGTGCAATACAGAAGGAGCGTTTCACTAGGCTATGCACTGGGCCCCCGGTTTTGAAATGAAGTAATAACATTAAAATCTTAATGGTTATAGACAGATTTTACAACATAAGATAGAACATTTATAAAAGAGCTATATGATTTTTATAGGCTTCTTGACATTGTTCAGGGCCCTCAATTCTCTGGGCCTAAGCAGCTTCTTACCTCGCTTATTGGCTAAGTCCGCCCCTAGTTATATAGTAAAGTAAGTCTTTGGCATCACACACAAAAAAGAGTTATATAAAGATTTATATTCAACAGCATTGTAAATATGCAGAACTTTGAGTTTTTTTGCATCATATTTAACCATTCATAAATATAGAATCTTTCTTAAAAGTGGATTTGTCATTTTTCTTTTTTTCTACAATAGAAAAATTATATTTTACTGAAAACAAACCTATCCTAGGGCAGCATGGTGGTGCAGTGAGTAGCACAGTCTCCTCACATCAAGAAGGTCGCTGGTTTGAGCCCTGGCTAAATCAGTTGGCATTTCTATGTGGAGTTTGCATGTTCTCCCCATGTTCGCATGGGTTTCCTCCAGGTGCTCTGGTTTCCCCCACAAATCCAAAAACATGCTACAGGTGAATTGGGTAAGCTTAATTGTCAGTATTGTGTATGTGTGTGAATGCAAGTGTGCATGGATGTTTCCCAGTGTTGGGTTGCAGCTGGAAGGGCATTTGCTGCTTAAAACATATGCTGGATAAGTTGGCGGTTCATTCCGCTGTGGCGACCCCTGATTAATAAAGGGACTAGGCTGAAAAAAGAAAATAAATGATTGAAACCTATACTAGTAACTAAATGATGAAATTATGAAAAAACGTGTCCAAAAACGAACTTGAGAGAAAGTGAAAAAGTATAACTCTGCACTATATAACTGTACTTAATTATTAAAAGAAGAAAGCAAGCAAAAATAAAAAATGAGAGTGGAAATACTTGTTTCATCATATTGAATCATCTCCTCAACACAAAGGGAAATAAATTGCTGTGTTTTGGCAGACAAACATGAAAAGATTTGGTTGAAGGGGGAAACAATGCACTCGCACAGTACAAATATATATATATATATATATCAAGTGCATATAACAACAATTAAAATGGAGCCCTTAAAGCAGGGGTGTCCAAACTCGGTCCTGGAGGGCCGGTGTCCTGCATGGCTTAGCTCCAACTTCCCTCAACACACCTGCCTGGAAGTCTAGTATAACTAGAAAGAGCTTGATTAGCTGGTTCAGGTGTGTTTAATTGGGGTTAGAACTAAAATATGCAGGACACCGGCCCTCCAGGACCGAGTTTGGACACCACTGCCTTAAAGGGACAATACTCACTTCATGACATCATACAGTAGGATGCTTCTGAATTTCTTCAGATGAATACGAATAAAGACCATACTAATGCGCCAAGTACACAAACTGAAGAAGTCATGTAATGCGAAACAACAGGCACCTGTAGGATGATTTCTAATATTTTAAATCTGACAATCATGTTGATTTTGTGTGTGTGTGTGTGTGTGTGTGTGTGTGTGTGTTTTCTTTTCTTTTTTTTTTACTTTTTGAGGTGGTTTACAACACGTATATGGACTAAAATATTTTGTATTCTTCTGAAAAAGATGGTCATATATGACTGGGTCAGAATAATAAATGATGAGAGTGTTTTCATAAACATCCATTACTGACATTTCTGTTTACATTTAGCTCTTTTCCAGTGTGAAAAAAATTAAATGTATCAAATGCTTTTTAAGTTTAAATAAATTTGAAAGGACTTAAGGGGCGTTCATAACAAAAACAGTAACTGTTAATATAAATATAACTGTATTTGTGTAAAAAAAAACTTGCTTGTTTTTGCAATACCTATTATAACCAGCAGATGTCAATGTGCTATATTATAGCATGTGTAATCTATCCAATCAAACTGTCAATTTATCGATCGTTTAGTTGAATAAGAACAACAGATCATTTTCCAGAAAAAAACCCTGCATTTTCTATGCATTTTCAAAAGAAAGCAACACAAAGATGCTGAAATTGTACTTGATACCTGAGGTACCATTATTGATATACAGTTTGCTCTCATAGCTTCCATGTAAATTTGTATTATTCTCTTTCAATCAGTTGTTTTCAAGATAGTCATTATCGTTAAATAATCTTTGAAAAGAGGGCTAAACATCAAGCTGTGAAAATCTCCATGTGCCCTTTATGTTTCAATAAATTCTGACTGGCTGTCAGGATTTTATTGTAAATTATCAGAAAAAAAAAAAGATTCGGAAAGTGATTCAAAGGATCTTGTTTCTATACCTGACAAATGTCTTGTCGGTTATCCAAGTTTTAGAAACAACAAATAATAACTTGAATTTCAGTTGATCATTTGGTATCAGAAATGGCTTATATGAAAGGCAAAGGCATTTAGATTACGTTTCTTTTAGCAAAATAAAATATGACCATGTCTTGATTTTTGATTAATTAGGACAGGGATGATTGACTTTGCTTAGACTAAAGTCTTGTCACTTAACAGAAATAACCTACAGTATAAAATATAAAGTCATGCTGCAGTGGAAAAAGAATTAATATTGTGTATGACTTGGAGGACTGCATCCATACATCTCTGCATTGATCAAGATTCTTTGGATTCATCTTTGTCTCCTTCATCTTACCCCCAAACATGCTCAATAATGTTCATGTCTGGTGGCTGGGCTGGCCAATTCTGAAGCGCCTTGACCTTCTTTGCTTTCAGGAACATTGATGTGGAGGCTGAAGTATGAGAGGGAGCACTATCCTGCTGAAGAATTTGTCTTGTTCTGTGGTTTGTAGTTTAATGGGCAACACAAATGTCTTGATAGCTCAGGCTGTTGATGTTGCACTCTGCAGGTCTCTCACACGCCCCCATGCTGAATGTAATCCCAAGCCATGATTTTTCCTCCACCAAACTTGACTGATTTCTATGAGAATCTTGGGCCCATGTGAGTTCCAACAGGTCTTCTGCAGTATTTGTGATGATTGTGATGCAGCTCAACAAATGATTCATCTGAAAAATCTCCCATCAGCCACTTTTCCAAATGATCAACTAGCAGATATTATTTGTTCGTCTTTACAACTGGGATTGATGACAGGACGTTTGTCAGGTAATGCACATCTTTGTCATCATAACTGTGGTTATAAAACTGGTTTTACACTCAGAGTGATTTTCAGAACTTTGTCGTTATCTTTGTAGTTTTCATGCTTTGTGTGATAGACCTTAAGAAGTACTGTATTTTTGTTTAACTACTCCAGCATTTTTCCAGGCTTTACTAATTTGAAATTCCTGTCATTCTAGACCTGCATGGACAAAAGAGGATCCTGGATTATCTTGTTTGCTTTACACAGTACTCGTAATTTACCTGCAGGTTAACAATGAACCATTGTGTGTTCTTATGCTTATGGTTCACACTTTTCAAAGCTGAACCTGACTCAACATCCTTATTTGGTATATTCATGGTGTCAGTGTTTGCATAAAGGCTCAACGCTGCAGATCCTCATTTGATATATTACAGACTATATTAGGCTGCTTTCCTGAATGGACATTTTGGCTAAAAAAAAAAGGCTCTGATTGATGCTTTTTATAATTGACATTTTCCAGCTCCAACGCTGCAAGGATTGATGATTGAAAAAAATTGATGATTGTTTGTTGATTGCTATGCATCTCATAACATTGTCATAATCAGTGTTGGGGGGATACATTACAACTAAAGCGAGTTACGTGCAGTTGTAATCAGAATTATTAGCCCTCTTGAATTATTAGCCCGCCTGTTTATTTTTTCTCTGATTTCTGTTGAACGGAGAGATTTTTTTCAACACATTTCTAAACATAATAGATTTAATAAATAATTTCTAATAACTGATTTATTTTATCTTTGCCATGATGACAGTAAATAATATCTAGATGTTTTTCAAGACACTTCTATACAGCTTTAAGTGACATTTAAAGGCTAAACGAGGTTAATTAGGGTAACTAGGCAGGTTAGGATAATTTGGCAAGTTATTGTATAACGATGGTTTGATCTGTAGACTATGAAAAAAATATAGCTTAAAGGGGCTAATAATTTTGACCTTAAAATGTTTTTTTTTTTTAATGAAAACTGCTTTTATTCTAGCCGAAATAAAACAAATAAGACTTTCTCCAGAAGAGAAAATTATCAGACATACTGTGAAAATTTCCTTGCCCTGTTAAACGTAATTTGGAAAACATTTAAAAAAAGAAAAGGAAATTCAAAGGGGGTTTTATAAATTTGATTTTAACTGTACTCTCTCAGAAATAAACGTATGCACGCTGTCACTGGGATGGTCCATTTTTAAAAGGTACAAATACTTTTGTATTTCATTATTGGTACCTCTAACGTATATATTATTAGCACCTAAAAATTTTATGAGGACACTGTTGTACTTTTTAGGTACCAATATGTACCCTTGAGGTATTAATATGGACCTTTTAGGTACAAATTTGTATCTTTTGAAAAGGTACCACCCCAGTGAAAGCTTGCTTACCTTTATTTCTGAGAGTTTAATAACGTTACTTCTCTAAAGAACGAATAAAGTAATGCATCCCTTTATTAAAATTTGTAATAATATTTGAGTTACTTTTTTGAAAATGTAATGCGAGTTACTTTTTAACTTAATTAGCTTTTTAAAAATAAACTGCTGAATTATATGAAAGTAGTCACAATGAATTACGCAGTCAATGAGAAAATGTTCATTATTTTGATCGCATTGAAGAAAAGGTAAAAGGGATTGCCTCAATGGGCAGTAATTTTACTTAAGACAAATAGTACAAAAGTAGCAAACACATTGTTTTTCACTTTCAATAATCTGTATGATGGCGCAGTAGGAAGTGTTGTCGCCTCACAGCAAGAAGGTCGCTGGTTCGAGCCTTGGCTGGGTCAGTTGATATTTCTGTGTGGAGTTTGCATGTTCTCCCTGTGTTTACGTAGGTTTCCTCCGGGTGCTCCGGTTTCCCCCACAGTCCAAAGACATGTGGTATAGGTTAATTGGGTAGGCTAAATTGTCCGTAGTGTATGAGTGTGTATGGATGTTTCCCAGAGATGGGTTGCAGCTGGAAGAGCATCCGCTGCATAAAACATGTGCTGGGTAAGTTGGTGGTTCATTCCGCTGTGGTGACCCTGGATTAATAAAGGGACTTAGCCGAAAATAATATGAATGAATAATCTGTATATACGGCATGTAGAGCTCTGGGCTCAGGAAGTTCTCAGTTAATATTATCCTAAAAACTTTTTTTTTGGTGTTTTTTTAAAGGTAAATGTAGGTGTAGGTTATACAGTGCGCTGTTAATTGCAGAGCTCATATTAAAAAAGAAAGAGTGAAAAAAACAAGTTCTGTAAGAGATCATGCCTCAGCCAAGTAATCAAAAGTAATGCAAAAGTAACATATTATTCACCATAAAAAAGTAACTAAGTAACGCAACTAGTAACTTTTTTGTAGAGTAACTCAATATTGCAATGCAATACTTTCTAAACTTTCTCCAACACTGCTCATAATACTGGATTGTTTCTGTAAACATTTCATTGCTGCGTTTCATTTTTTACTTGAATCAAATAAAGTTTTCTAGTCATCTCTTCTTACCTTAATTCGGCTGATGAAAAATATTTTGACAAATAAAATTTTTAAAGTTGTAACCTGATTAACTTAATTATCTAACTTGATTAAAATAAGTTCAAGCTACATAAAAAGAAGTATTTGTCTTGACTTTTTGTCATAACGTTTTTACAGTTTAACTGCAGGAATATGCAAAGTCTGAAACCCTTCTGTGAATTGCTAATCCAAATCAAAGATTTAAAATAAAAATAAAAATTTATGATCGTATATGTTTGCAGGCTATTTTTATGTGTACTGTTATAAATATGAAAAGGATCTAATGACTGTTCTCTGGAATCTCCCAGAAATTCCCACGTCCAAAACAACCACAAGACTGTGACTCTTTCTCTGAAAAATGAGGAAGTCTAAAGAAAAGAATCTTTACAATTCACTCTTTTGTATATTTCCCCCCTAATTTATTTATGACCATTCTGTTATACCCACAAAAACGATTACTCTTTTAAATACTTATTTTAAGAGTTCCCACTTAGATATGCTTGGCATTTATAACAGGTTTGGCATGCTGTCACGGAGATATTTGAGCCCAGGGCTCCCGCCCGGTCTAGAAGCATATCAGGAGAACCGAGATCAGGTAGGTCTCGATCGCTCCCCCTTTAGAAGGGGAGAAAAAGGAGGAGATGGAGTGGAAGGGGGGATTCTTCCAAAAAGAAAATAGAGCAATAAGGAGAAAGTGATCCATTTATATTAAGCTCGGATCATTCTGATTGGATTATTACTGATTACGGATGAGTGGCCAGCAGTGCACAATCATATCACGTGCTCTTCTCGAAATTAGTTTGTGAAACTTCACTTATTGGTAATATTTTTGGACTTAATTAACTTTCATTCATTCAATTTTCTTCCGCTTAGTACCTTTATTTATCAGAGGTCGCCACAGCAGAATGAACCGCCAACTAATCCAGTATATGTTTTAAGGAGCGGATGCCCTTTTAGCCGCAACCCAGTACAGGGAAACAACCATACACTTTCACATTCACACACACACACACACACACACTCTCATACACTATGGCCAATGTAGCTTCTTCAATTCATTTATGCTGCATGTCTTTGGACTTTTGGGGAAACCCACACAAAAACGAAGAGAACATGCAAACTCCTCACAGAAATGCCGACTGACCCAGCAGGGGCTTGAGCCAGCAACCTTCTTGCTGTGGGGTGACAGTGCTAGCCACCGTGTTGCCTACTTAAGTATGCCTAAAAATGAGGATTTAGCCTTTCTGCAAAGACAACAAAACATTGTCAAAACATTGTATCACCTGTTCACTGACATACTCTTAAAATCTGATCATTAAAGACATATCATCAGTTCTTTTTATTTTGGATTTTGAGACTCGTGACCTCAAGTGGGCCCGGATAAGCGAAAGAACATGACTTTCTGAGACTGATGCGTTTGACTACAGATAACAATCTTTAGGAGGTTCACATGCAGTAAGACAAAGGTCAAGAATTTACAAACCAAGCTTCAGAAAGTCAATAATATCCCGAACCTTTGTTTATATGTCTTGTAAACAGGACTTTGCTTTAGTCGTGTCACTTCTGCATCACTTAATCACACAGTAAAAAGATCAACATCCTTTTCAGTCAAATAAGTATTATTAGCAGAATCAGACAATTGTTTTTGCTTTTTTCTACCTATGTGTGGTTATCAGATACTGGCTTTAGCAGTCACATCCTGTGCTGTGAGCCTTTTAACCACATTAACACCCAGGTCCCACTTAGTCTTTATACATTTCCCGCACATTGCCAAGTGAAAGTACATCAAGAAGGACATTCGAAAATGCAACTGTGACATTAAAAAAAAACCTCAGTTTTATCTTTGAATGTCTTATAATTAAAGCCTAAAAACATTCTAACTCTGACTGGATAAAATACAAACTATTTAAAGGAAAAACTAAAGTGTGTGCGTCCGTATGTGTGTGATAGCAAATACAAGCACATGTAGCTCCTCCTCAGAAACCTTTGCTTCTATTTTGATGGATGGCGATAAGTCATCAGCTCACACTTGGTGATTTTTCACACAGAGACAATTTCCATATCATTGGTTGTGATATTCAAGGTGTTTCAGCTCGTGGCCAGAAAGGCTTCTTGTATTCGAGTCAGGGCTGTGTAAACCCTGAGCAATCTTTCCTAAACCTGTCTGCACTCATTATGAGAAGGATACTGTTTATAATGTTCCCCGTCAACGGACTGTTTGGTGAGTCCATTTTGAGAATTTTTATAAACTGTACGGGTTTAGGTTTTTAAACAGTTAAAAACTGGCTTTTGGCATCATTTTCTCTCAAAAAACAAACTAGATGTTGATTTAATAGTTGTTTAGAACATAAAACCAGACTTTTTGTTGAGTATAGACTGCAAAATTGTAGGGTTTTAATTTTAAATTTGCTTTTTTATATCTATATAAAGCTTTTATACAAACAAATAATAATGTTATAAAAAAAACATTTTAAAGAATTAATACGATGGTTTACACAAACACGAAATCTCTGTCATTTACACATCCTTTTTGAGTATCTTTTTTTCAGTTGAATACAAAATAAGATATTTTGAAAGATGTTGGAAACCGGTGATTATTGACTTTCATGGTATATGTTGTTCCTGCTATGGATGTCAACAGTTATCCGTTTCTAACACTCTTTAAAAGAATCTGTTCAAGTTCAACTGAGAAAAAAAAACTCATAAAGGTTTGGAAACACTAGGGTAAAATACTGTTTTCTTTTTTTTTTTTAGGTAAGCTATGCCTTTAAGTGTCAACTTATTTCTTCTTTTTGAAATGAGCTTTGCCTTTATTTTTGAAGGCAGCCATATCAAGTTACTGTCTTGCATTTCATGTGCCTTTGTGAACACGATTGTTTGTTAGGTTAAACAAGTTTTGGATGTTAAACTCAAGTTTCTACATTTTCAGAAATGAAATTTTCAGTTCTCTTGACTAAGTGTTGAAACAAACATTACAAGTTGAGTCTTCCACTCACATTTAGTTCAGTAACTCATGTTGAAGGCAGAAGATGAACTTTCGTTTCTGGATTTAACCACATAAAACATTTTACCATTTTGTAGAAAAAACAAAATATGACTGAACTATATTGAGTATATTTTGCACACTTTCACAAAATTAGGTTTATATATAGAGATTATTGCAAAAAACTGCACATAATGTATATATGTGTGTGTTTGTCTGTTTATCTATTGACAGATCGAGATTTTACAACTAAATATTCTAGTCTAATATTTAAATATTATATTTTGTTGTGAAATTTTTGCAGAGTGTACATTTTTCCAACACCTCATTTCAATCTAATGTATTATTTTTCTTATTCTAAAGAATCTTATTCTTATATGACCACACTCTCATGTTAACACTTTAGAATAACTAGTTGTTATAACTAGTTAATAGTCCATTAATAAATTGTTAGTTAATAAGTTATAAATGACTTGTTAAATAAAAGTTAATAGTTTGTTATTTTTTTTATAACTGTGCCTTATATATAGTTAATAGATAACTTACAAGCTGTTAGTTAACAAGTTATAAATGACTTGTTAAGTGTAATTTAATGATTTATAACTATACCTAATAAATTAGTAATAGACCATGAACAAGCTGTTTGTAAAGACTTTCTAAGTATCAGTTAAATGTTTATATATGTTATTACATGTAAAGTTGCAACTATTCTTCATTTATTAACTGTTAGTAAATGAGGAATAGTTGCAACTTTAGAATCACGTCCCAATAACATACATAAGCCAATAGCAGGGTGTTTTCACACGTCTAGTTTGGAAAAGGTCTGGAAAGTGGGTGTGTCTAGCTCTGTTTGGGTGGGCGTGTCGGGGGAGGTAAAATGGGAAGGATTTGACTGAAAATGGGAGTTCCCATTTGGGCACGCGCTGATTTTCACACGCAGATGCAGGGGAGATCTATTACTAATTTATTAGGTATAGTTATTTTTAACTTGTTATTTATAGTCATTTATAACTTGTTAACTAACAGCTGGTAAGTTATCTGTTTCTATCTATAAGGCACAGTTATAAATAATTAACAAACTATTAACTTTTATTTAACAAGTCATTTATAACTCATTAACTAACAGCTTTTAATAATCTATTATAACAGATTCTAAAGTGTTACCAGTTAATGAATATTGAAATGTTTACTAATACTGTTTTGTAAAAAAAACATCTTAAAAAAAAACTTATCTGAATTTTAAATGGATAGTTCTTCCCAAAAACTGAACATTTCCTCACCTTTACTCAAACTCAAATTGTTCTAAGCTAAAAATCATCACATGACTATAGGTACAATCCCTAAACCTATAGGTACAATCCCTTAACCAATCCCTAAACAATCGCCCTGAACCTAACATCATCAGTGCAGTTATCGTGTCACATTCTGTGCAACCACTATTAATAATATTATAAAATAAAACTAATCCTAAAAAACAGCAGTTTCAAAGGTAAAAAATTGCAAATCTATGTTTTATTTGTGGATTTTACGTAGATAAGTTGTTATTACTGCAAGTAATCAAAGAAATTGCATTTTATTTCTGTAGATCAACATCAAAAATCAAACTGTTTTAACATTTTCTCTTTCATTTTCTCTTTGATCAGCAGGCTTTGTAGAGGCAAATCAAGGTAACAACTTTTCCATACATCTTTGATACTCAGTTGATAAATATTTATTTTTTGTTTGTTTGGTAGTTTTTTTTAATGCATATTATATGCTAATGCATTTTCTGCTTTTCAGACTGCAGTTCCTGTTACCAGATGGACATTGGAGTGGCTGTGGGGATCATCACGTGTGATATTATTGTCACGCTCCTCATTGCTCTCTCCGTCTACTGTTTTGTTTCTCGCCAGAAAAAGAGAGGGAGTTTACATGCACACGGCAGATGCTGTAGCTCAGGTAAGCCTGATTGTAGGAAAATATTTAAAAAAAACAGTCACTATGAGTTTCAGAGTTTCAGTCTTAATCATATGTTTTTCTGATGTTTAAGGCAAAGCAAAGCTTCAGCAGACATCTATGAGGGCAAAACCAATTGAAGTAGAATCACCTTACCAGGTAAAATGAGCAAAATATGTACACAAAAAATATGTTTGCTATTTGTTCAAACTACTTATTTAAAATAAGCTAAAGCAACACAATTTATGAGTTTTATAGGGGGAATCTTAATTGTTTTATGCTTAATTTACTTAAATTGGTAAAAACTCATAAGTTAACTTAATTCCGTCATGTCGATTGTGTGGAACCCAACATTGTTTGCAGTGTATTTAATGCAATGCAATATACGTGAGATCAGTTTTGTTGAAGTTCACAAACTAAGGCAAGACATTGCTTACCAAAACTATTTGTCATGGACCAGTGAGTATGGAGATTTTTGACTTTTCTTAAAATGTATTTTTGTTCAGTTTAATGTTAAGAAAACTTCCAAAATACATTTTAAAGTGTTTCTTTTGTCGCACTTTATTAGTGTTTATCCATACATTTTAATTACAATGCATATTTTAAAAGCATTTTATTATTACACACATCAAGTGACACAATTTTACAGAGGTATTTGTTCATTCGTTTATTTAAAAATAAATAAATATAAAAAAAATAAATAACCTATATGATAAAGTGAGAGTGTCTTAATAATATAGCGGAAAGTAGTATGAGGTAAATGTTACTCAAAGTGACAGATGCAGATGTATTTGTGTGAGATGTGTTTAAGTAAATAATCAAGTAATTACACTATTAGTTAATTTTGTTGTACCCTATATTTACCTTGCCTTAAAAAGTCTTAATGTTTTCTTGAAGTGCTTATATGTGTACTCAATTTATTCACAATGTTTTGACAGGAGCTTTATGGAGTGCAGTCAGACATATACAGTGATCTTCAGCAGTATCGGAAATAAACAAGGTCACCTAACATTATCAATGAACGAGTTGTGTTCACACCAATATTTGGAGATTGCATAGGTTCATGACGGTTTCATATTGTGGCATACAAATATGTATTTGATATAAATAAGCTATAATAATTGAATCATGCAAAACAATTTCCATGAATCATCATGATTGGTACATATAAAAATCATCAAAATAAATGTTAATGGTTTGTGGAAAGGAAATGATCTTCAGGAACTTGAAGATTTAATTCCACATTTTATTATAGTTGTAAAAGTTTTTTTTTTTTTTTGTATCTTTATATGTCAGTTTTGTATTTATTCATAGTATATCTTTGTATTGGAAGATTCCCTTGCTCCTTATGGTAAAATAAATGTGTTTGATTTTAATTTGTGGCTTTTAAGTTTTTTCTTGTATGTGTTATGTGCTTGTCAGCATAGTGAGATAACAGAAGGATGAAACCACCTTTTATGTCCGAGGAAGTGGATGCAGTTGCAGTAGCTGACCTGAACTGCAGTCAGCTAGACAAAAGCCAAATACTTTTATTATTATTATAATTCTTTAGGCCAGAATTTCCTGAATTATTAAATTCAACACCTTCATCCTAAAATATATGGTCTGAGTAGAGTCACTGATATATTGTTCTGTATTCTAGGTAAAATAAATGAAACTGAAGAGTTCTTGACACCTCGAGCAGTTTAATTGAGCTCTTAGTTTAAGTGTGACCACTTGCAGCGTCCACAAGAGTGCACTATTATCTCATTGTGCTTTATGTCACATCCACTGTTATTTATTTAGGAATTTACTGTTTTTCTTTCAGCGCTTCTTCCTGTATTGGTGTATCATTGAACTAAAGCAGTTTCAGTGTTTGTTTGTCTTTGCATACAATGAATGTTTATTGTTGGAATACTAAGTATGATAGTGTAAATGCAAATGCTGGACAGACTGTTTACCATACACATAATTAGCCAATTTACACAGAGCCGGAACTGTCATTTCAGTTTTGTGTTGAATTTTTAAATAAATGACTGTCAGTCTACCAACTGCTTTGATTTAAAATATTTAAAGAAATAAAGAAAAAGTAAAGAAAAAGAAATTAACATTCCACTAGGAGCTTGAAATCTCTTAAAGGGATAGATCCCCTAAAACAAAAGATTTTATTTTGAGGGGATCGTTCCCAACAAAATGACAACTTATTTACTCACACTCCAATGTTCCATTCAATTCAATTCAGCTTTATTTGTACAGCGCTTTTACAATATAGATTTTGTCAAAAGGCTTCACATAAATGGTCATAGTAAATTGGAACAGTGTAGTTCAGTTTTTTAGTGTTTAAGTTCAGTTCAGTTTAGATCAGTTCAGTGTGGTTAAAAATCACTACTTAGAGTCCAAACACTGAATCGATGCAGAGCTCTACCGATCCCAAACCATGCAAGCTAGAGGCGACAGCGGAGAGAAAAAAAACTTCACTGATTGGCGAAAGTGAAGAAAAAAAAAAAAAAAAAAGTTAAAACCAGACTTAGTTGGGGGCACGACCATATTAATTTCTCCACTGGCCAAATGTCTTGTGCCAGAGCTGCAGTCTCAGCGGCGGAGGCTGGAAGCTGGCCTCAGCGAAGACTCGTCTGTCCTTGGAGCGTCACTGGAATCAGTCTCATGCTCTCCACTCCTTCATGATCACCGCAGCAGCTGCTCAGGATATGGCCTGGTCCAGGATATGGAAACCTTGGGATCATCTCGCAGCTGGTCTTGGATCTAATCAGTGACTCTGCATAGTCTGAGGTCCTCGGGAAGAGTATCCCCAGGTGGAAATAGAGAATAAAGAGAATAATTAGCATAGCTGCTCTTCATAGTGTATATAAACAAGATGCAGAAACCTGTGTGAAACCCCGTTAAGTGATGCATTGAGTGTATGCTTTACTAAACAGAAAGGTCTTTAATCTAGTTTTGAATTGGGAGAGTGTGTCTGAGCCTCGGACGTTATCAGGAAGTCTATTCCAAAGTTTAGGAGCCATAAATGAGAAGGCTCGACCTCCTTTACTCGACTTTGCTATTCTAGGTCCTACCTGAGTTTAGAGATCTTAAAGAGCGAGTTTGATTGTAGTGAGACAGAAGGTTGGTTAGATAAACAGGAGCTAGATTATTTAAAGATTATTTAATGTTCTAAATGTTTATTTATTTATTTCTACTTTTTAACAAAATAATCAAGATATTCTGAAGAATCTTGGGGAAAAGCAGCCATAGAATTTTAAAGGAACAAAAATACTGTTGAAGTCAATTGCTACTGCTTTCTGACAAATAAGAAAACGGTAACACTTCACAATAACAGTAGATGAATAATGCTGTGTTAATACATAAACTCAACATCACTTTATTATGAACTAATAATGGCTACCTTAATTGCTTGTACAAGCTTGCTTGTTAAATAATGTATTAATTACCATATTAGTGTATATGCCTAATTTAACTATCATGAAATTATAATATGTTAATGTATAATTATGTCATCACGACTTTACTTGGAGGGACAGATCCCCATTTATACATTCTTAACTACACATGAAGACCTTATGTATGCCCGTCTTGTGCATTTACACTGAATAACAACAGAAAAGTGTTCATTCAACATCAACGTTAACAGTTTAAACACAGTAGTTCACGAGTAGCTAATGGTGACGTGCCCCTCCAAGTAAAGTCATGACATAATTATACATTAATTGCTCATGAGTTCATGTTGATTACAATTAGCTTAAATGTAAATGTTAATTAATAAATTGTTAACAACATGTACTAGCAATTAGGGTAACTGTTATTTACCTGTGAATCATGTTGTAGTTAAAGTTAGTTCATGATTAGTGAGCGCCATAACTCATCAGTAATTCAGTAATACAGTAAAATTTAGTTGACATATTAAAACATCATCATTATTATTATAGTGTGTTACCAAGAAAAAAAGAAAGAAAAAGAAAAACTCAAACCGGTTTGGAAAAAGGTGAAGGATGACTAAAAAATGACAGAATTTTATTTTTGAGTCTTTAACTCATTCTCACTCACTCACTCATTCTCAAGCCATTTAAACGGTGGATGGAACTTTTTTTTTAATGTGTATAAACTGGAAGTTGCTGAGAATTTAATTTCAACATGTTGATCTGTTTCCAGTTGGAATTGAATACTAAGTAGGTTGTGTGGATTTTATTTATTTTTTTACCAAAATAAACGTCTACTTATTTATTTATTTATTCATTTATTCATTCATTCATTCATTTTCTTTTCTGTTTAGTGCCTTTATTAATCTGGGGTTGCCACATTTATTTATTTACATTGGATTAACTGGATTAATTAATAGTCCTTGGTGATTCATATAATGGAATTCAACCAAAACCTTGAGTCAAACGGCCTTAAACTGACACAAAGGTTGCGTCTGAAATTGCATACTTCCATACTATATAGTACACTAAAAACAGTATGCAAACCAAACAGTATTCATTGAATTTGAAAAACAGTATACGAGAAATACATACTACCGGTGAGATTGTGAAGTACTCATCTGATGAACGCTATGCTATCCCATGATGCACCACGAAAATATTAATGAATGATAGTGAAGCAACTGACATGGATAGGTTGAGTGATCATGACAAAATGGCAGATGTACTGTAGTACGTTCGAGTTCCATTCAAACTGCACCCATTCATACTATATAACGGACTTTTCTAACAGTCGAGTAGTAAATTTAAATTCAAATGTAGTACATACCGAGTAGACTTCGTAGTAGTAGCAGATTTCAATTTGCATCAAAATGACATGCTTTCTTGAGTATGTAGTTATTTTGAATAGTAGGTCTTCTAGAAATCTGCTAAATAATTGTTATTGCACAGCTCTTTTGAATAATTGATTCTGACTGGACTGGTCACAACCAGGGCCGGAGCAAGCTGAACTGCCGCTCTAGGCAAAGGATGGTCATGCCGCCCTCAACCCCAACCCTCTCTATTCTGCTGCCCTAGACGCGGATATAACTAAGGGCGCGGGTGGTTAGGGTAGTGTCGCGGACGCTGCCCTCTCTATTAGTCGCGGATATTACTGAGGGAACGGGTGGTGAGGGTATTGTCGCGGACGCCGCTCTCTATTTTATCGCACTAGACGCGGATATAACTAAGGGCGCGGGTGGTTAGGGTAGTGTCGCGGACGCTGCCCTCTCTATTAGTCGCGGATTTTACTGAGGGAACGGGTGGTGAGGGTATTGTCGCGGACGCCGCTCTCTATTCTATCGCACTAGACGCGGATATAACTAAGGGCGCGGGTGGTTAGGGTAGTGTCGCGGACGCTGCCCTCTCTATTAGTCGCGGATATTACTGTGGGAACGGGTGGTGAGGGTATTGTCGCGGACGCCGCTCTCTATTCTATCGCACTAGACGCGGATATAACTGAGGGCGCGGGTGGTGAGGATAGTGTCGCGGACACCGCCCTCTCTATTAGTCGCGGATATAACTGAGGGCGTGGGTGGTAAGGGTAGTGTCTGGGACGCCGCCCACTCTATTTTGCCGCCCTAAGCAGCCGCCTAGGTCGCCTCTATGGACGCGCCGGCCCAGGTCACAACATTCCAAGGTATTTGTCCTGATAACGACGAGTGAAGCTAATAACACAGGCTCATATGGGTACTACAAATAATCTTGACTGGTTGACCCAGTATATTCATATACTTGCTTATGCTTATCTTTTATGACACCAATTCATTCCGCTGTGGTGACCCCTGATAAATAAGGAACTGAGCCAAAGGAAAATTAGTGAGTGAGCGAGCGAGTGACGCCATTCTTCAGTGTTTGGCGCCATCTTGTGACAGAAAAAAAGTAGTTTTTTATAGTAGGTCTAAGTAGTTAAGTGCGAGTTGCATTCATTTCAGCCATTTAGTATTTGCTGAATTTGCATTCAGTGAGTTGCATTCAATCAATGTTTTGTGTATGGCTGTTTACTTTTATGGTAAGTAGAGAATTACCACGTAGATTCACATTATTGCATAACATGAATGAAGCGCGAATATAAAGATGCACCACATTTATAGTTGTCATTATAACATGACCAGAATCCATTTCATCACTTTACTGCCATTCAAAAATTCCTTCTTTATGCCTAGAATAAAAAAAAAAAAATATATATATATATATATATATATATATATATATATTCATCTTTTATCACACATTTTTGTCACACACAGTTTTTGGCCTAGTACACAGCAGGGAAGTATGTGATTTTGGCTGCAGCTGATGTTTCAGGCCTAATGGTGAGTGTTTTCTGAAGTACATCTTCACTCAGCTGTTTGTCTGTGTGAAGCCATTCAGCAGATTTTGTCTTCCACATCACTGCTGTACTCCCATAACTTCGGTTGCAT